GTTTGAATGTAGATACAAGGCTTGTAGATATGATGTCTGACATTAAAATGTCCTTTTTTGAAACCACAGAACCACCAGTGCTCTTGGGTTGCAAGTCCCATAATCTCCAGTCTGCCTAACAGATAATCAAAAGTAATTTGAGTTCTCAATAACATATGGGGAACCAAACTGGGTAAATTAAGGTAAAGAGCACTGACTGCTATGTAAAAAAGTTATAGTTGGCCCTCTGTATCAACAGATTCTCCCCCCATTCTTTCAATAGCCCTCTAAATGTAACCATAAGGCTGATGTGGTCCTCAGTGAAAATAGGTTTGATACCAGGCATCCCACAGTGTGTAGCTTGAGGACAAGGACAGGTCATATTTACTACTTAGTGAACCAAGCCTTAAACTCAAGGATGTGGGTCAGAATGCTCCTGGATTACAACTCTCGCCATTCCTCAACACTGGATAGGTTTGCAAAGGCTGTTGGGCCTTGCGGTCCAATATCAATTGAAGGCCAACATAGAGCCCTTCCACACAGACATACATCCCAGAATATCAAGGCAGGAAATCCCACATTGTCTGAGTGTGGACTCAGATAACCCTGGGTCCTTCCACACAGCGCTATATCCCAGAATATCAAGACAGAAAATCCCACATTATCTGCATTGAACTGGAATATATGGCAGTGTGGACTCAGATAATCCAGATATTTTAGGATATAGAACTGTGTGGAAGAGCCCTTCGTTCCAAAGCCTTGAATATTTTATGGATCAAAACTAGGACACTTCTACCCAAGCAACACCAGAGTATGACAAAGCTGCCAGAAGGGACATCTGGAAGAAACCACAGCAGTTTGCTTTTGACCGAGTTTACAGGAAAGGGCACATCCCACCTCATCATGTCCTCTACTGAGTTAATTATGTGCAAACTATCTTTGAACATTGAACTCGGTTTGCGCCAATAGAAAACAAGGTGAGGACTAAGGATTTTTTTTCATGTCAGGAGCGACTTGAGAAACTACAAATTGCTTCTGGTGTGAGAGAATTGGCCGTCTGCAAGGATGTTGCCCAGGGGACGCCTGGATGTTTTACCATCCTGTGGGAGGCTTCTCTCATGTCCCTCCATGGGAAGCTGGAGCTGACAGATGGAAGCTTTGTTGAAAAAGTTGGTCCACAGAGGACTAACCAGAAGTGTTCCTGTCAAATTAGGACAGTTGGAGAATAAGCAATTCTGATTTTACTTTAGCCAATTACAGGTTTCTCTCTAAAACTATCTCCAGAAGCATCCCATCCTATTTTTTTCAACATAATCTCAGTTAGTATTTAGAATTCCTTTACTTCTCCTATAAACACGGGAAAAAATTAATCCAAGATAGAGAGCCCAAACTAAAGCCAATATTACACGTACTCCAGCCAACAATGCTTTCTCGTACAACTTGCAGATGCCAGAATCTAAAACAAAAACTTTAAAAAGAGTTTAAAATGGCCTTGTTAAGACAGCACAATGTTCAGTTCTAAAATTCATACAAAAGTAACTGCCAATTTAATGGAAAGAATGTAATTTCCTAGATAGCAGATTTGGATAAAGATGTCAACATAATTCCCCTTCCTATGGCGCTTTTGGAAGACAAATAAAGTTGTCGCTCCACATTTGTGGTTTTAACTTTTGCGGATTTGATTATTCACAGATTTGATTAAAAACGTTCCCTATAGAAATCTTAACGTCCTCCAATGGGATTTTACAGTCAGCTTCCACCCTGAGTCCCCTCGAGGAGACAGGGCGGCCTATAAATAAAGTATTATTATTAGATACACAACACGATTAGTACACAGCAAACAAGATGATTATGCTGGTTTTTGTATTTGATCACACGTCGGACGCTTCCCAAGTGTTTCGGACTGTGAGATGTATCAGTGAATAATGTGTGCAGATCCAAATAGGGTGGCTTTTTGCAACGGACAGATGGTGATTTTGTCAGCGCCAATTGTTTTTAAGTTCAGGCCAGGGTCTTTAGGCACTGCACCCAGTATGCCGATCACCACTGGGACCACCTTTACTGGCCTGTGCCAGAGCATTTACAGTTCTAACTTTAAATCCTCTATTATAATAATAAACAGGGGTTTTTTTTTTTTCACAACTAGCTTTGACGGTTTTATTTTGCAATATGCCACTGAGCAAGACTTCTTTGGGGAGGAAAGAGTAAACCATAAGAATATTACAGTCTTCCAGTAGCCTTTCAAAACACATTGCTGAATTGAAACTCAAAAGACCATGCAAAAGCATGACAAGAAACTACACTGGAAGGTCAAGGTCTGAATAACAACTAAATTGATTTTTAAAATATCAAGTTTTCCATGTGTTTGGCATGACATTTGTACTGTTTTTCCCCAAATCCATCACCCCAAAATTACATTGATAATAGCTTCAATATGAGGAGGGGGAGGAGTGTTTTCGTAACAGGCCTGTGCTTTTGACTTCTGCTCCCAGAATCCCTAATCATTGGCCACAGCAGCTGAGACTTCTGGGAGTTGAAGTCCAGAACACCAAGAGGACAAGAGTTTAGCTATAACTAATTCTACATTGTTTGACACTGTAGTGGATTTATATGGCTCAACGTTACAGAGTCAGAAGAGTTATAGTTTGGTGAAACACCAGCACTTTTTGGTAGAAAAGGCCAAAGACCACGTAAGACTGCAATGCCCATGGTCTTACAGCATTGAGCCATGGCAGTTAAAGTGGGGAAATCTCCTTATCTAGAGGTTTCTAAGCAAAGGCTGGATGGCCATCTATCAGGAGTGCTTTGGCTGGAAGTCCTTGGTTGACAGAAGGAGGTTGGACTGGATGGTCCTTGGCATCTCTTCCAAATCTAAGATTATATGGGTGCATCTACGTTGTAGAATTATTGCAGTTTGACCCCACTTGAATGACCATGGGTTCTCTTCCAAATCTAGGATTATATGGGTGCATCTACACTGTGGAAATATTGCAGTTTGGCCCCACTTGAACTGACATGGGGTCTCTTCCAAGTCTAGGATTATATGGGTGCATCTACACTGTAGAATTATTGCAGTTTGACCCCACTTGAACTGACATGGCTGAATCTTATGGAATGCTATGTAGTCTGGTGAGGCCCATTGGACAAAGAAGACTAAGGCCCTAATTCTATAGCTTGAGCCAGGGCAATACAAGTGGTATCAAACCGCTTTCATTCTACAGTGCATGCATCAACCTTTCCCTGACTGCAGAGTCACAAGTGCTGTTGGGTAATTGCAATTCCCATTATCCCCAGTCCGCATGGCGGACAATCAAAAACAATGGCAGTTCTTTAAAAACATTTGAGAACTTAAACAGGGTAAAAAATAAAGAGCACCCACCGATATGCAAAAAATTGTAACTGGCCCTCTGTGTCCACAGATTCTCCATCTACAGATTCAATGGCCCTTTGAAAGAAACCATAAGGCTGACTTGGCACTCGATGAAAATGAGTTTGACAGCCCTGATCTATGCTGTAGGCATGTCAAATAGCCGGGTGCAAGCAATGCTATAGGCCTCATCTACACTACCTGTAAAATCCAGATTATCTGCTTTGAACTTGATTATATGGTGTTGTTGTTCATTCGTTCAGTCGTCTCCGACTCTTCGTGACCTCATGGACCAGCCCACGCCAGAGCTCCCTGTTGGCCGTCACCACCCCTAGCTCCTTCAAGGTCAGTCCAGTCACTTCAAGGATGCCATCCATCCATCTTGCCCTTGGTCGGCCCCTCTTCCTTTCCCCAGCAGAATTGTCTTCTCTAGGCTTTGCTGTCTCCTCATGATGTGGCCAAAGTACAAAGTAGACTCATATAATCCAATTCAAAGTAGATAATCTGAATCATCATCCGATCCCAGATTTTCTGTTTATCCCAGATTATCTGGCAGTGCGGACTCATATAATCCAGTTTAAAGCAGAAAACTTGGGATCAAATGCTGGGATATGGGGCCTGTCTAGAAGGGTCCTAAATCCACACAGCCCTATATCCCAGAATATCAAGGCAGCAAATCCCACATCTCCTTTAACTGGGTTATCTGAGTGTACACTTAGAGCCCTTCCAGACAGGCCCTATATCCCAGGATCTCATCCCAAGTTTTCTGTTTTAACCTGGATTATATGAGTCCTCTGTCAGATAATCTGGAATAAACAGAAAACCTGGGATCAGATCCTGGGATATAGGGCCTGTCTGGAAGGGCCCTCAGATGATGTGGGGTTTCCTGCCTTGATGTTTTGGGATATAGGGCTGAGTGGAAGGGCCCTGAGTCCACACTCAGATGTGGGGTTTCCTGCCTTGATGTTTTGGGATATAGGGCTGAGTGGAAGGGCCCTGAGTCCACACTCAGATGTGGGGTTTCCTGCCTTGATGTTTTGGGATATAGGGCTGAGTGGAAGGGCCCTGAGTCCACACTCAGATGTGGGGTTTCCTGCCTTGATGTTTTGAGATATAGGGCTGTGTGGAAGAGCACTTGAAGGGCCCTAAATCCACACTGACATATAATCCGGGGCAAAGGAGATCAAGTGGATGATCTACTTTGATAATCTGGATTGGATGGCAGTTTAGATCCAGCCTGATCTAAAACCAAAACCAAAACATTGTAGGGAAGGGAGGAGAATGTCCTCCACTCCAAAAGGAAAGATCTCTGATCCACTTCATCACACTAGAGAATGAATCCACTTTAAATCCGGTTGCTTCCTGCAGAATTGTGGGTTTGTAGTTTAGGAAGAGCCTTTAACAGACTCATAACTACAAACCCCAGAAGTCTGCAGGGAGTAGAAACCGGATTTAAAGTGGATTCATCATTCTCTAGTGTGATGAGGTCTAGATCAGCTCAGGAAGGGATCCAGGGAAGGAAGGGCTTTGCAAAAAAGGCCAAACCTTGTGCATAAGGATCCCAACAACCCCTGCCCTCTTTGCAGGATCCTGAGGCCTAAAGCAGAGGAAGGGGGGATTGAAATGGGGGTGTCCCCCCCCCCAAAGGACTCACGCGTTGCCCACGTGGATGCGGGGCACCACCTCGTTGCTGTGCGCGCTGGGGAGGCTGTAGCAGCCGCTGCCGTTGGCCAGCAGGTCGTTGAGCTCTTCCACCGAAATCTGGAACTCTGACATGGCTCGCTCGCCTGCCTTCGCCGCCTCCTCCGCCGCCGATCTGGGCAGGGCTGCTGCTGCTCCCCGGCTCCGTCGCCCGGGCCCGGCCTGATGATAGGAGGGGCCGCGATCAGCTGGTGCTCGGAAGGCAACTCCCCAAACGGGGCCCGGAGGAGGAGGAGGAGGACAAGCAGGCAGCCCAGGTCCGGGGGCGCCCAAAAGAGCTCCATCCCTCCCTCCTTCCTCTCTGCATCCATTCCTCTTGGTAGGCTGCCTCCACTACACAGGTTGGCTCGCCCTCCTGTTTCAATTGCACCCACTCCCCTCCAGCCACAGCTTGGTTTCCTTCCCTTAAAGGTCACAAGTGTTTGGCTCCAGTTTAATCACACTCCTGAACCCTGGAAGAGGGATTAGCTTCGCCTCGTTTTCTTTTTGTGGCCTTGGGGTGTGTTATGTTTTCAAAAAACAGGCTCTGAATGCTTCCCCTTGCAAGCCACAGGTGCCACAATTTCAGGTGAATAGAGGTAGGCTTTGGCTACGTCTACACACTGGGGTAATAATAATAATAATAATAATAATAATAATAATAATAATTAAAAAACACAGAAATGCTGTACCACTCTCACAACCACCATGTCAGACTACACAGAGAAGCCATTGAAATCCACAAACGTGGACAATTTCAACAGAAAGGAGGAAACCATGAAAATGAACACGATAAATAAATAAATCACCTCTCAACAAAAGTTTGCTCCAGGCACTGTCAGGGCATTATATGCTAATCAAGGTGGTCAGTTGAAACATTCACACCTAGCTCCAGCAGACAAGAGTCCTTTGTCCCACCCTGGTCATTCCACAGATATATAAACCCCTTTTCCTAGTTCCAACAGACCTCACTACCTCTGAGGATGCTTGCCATAGATGCAGGCGAAACGTCAGGAGAGAATGCCTCTAGACCATGGCCATATAGTCCGAAAAAACCTACAACAACCCAATAATAATAATAAATTTATTTATATACTGCTCAATCTCCCTTGGGGCACTCAGGGCGGTTTCCAAATTGTAAAAATTCCAAACCATACAGAGTAAGCAAAAAAACAAACACACAGACAACAACAACAACAACAACAACATAACAATACATAAGCATCAAATAGTCAATCAACACATCTATATAAATAAAAATGTAATGTTCGTTTGTGTGATTAACAGAACTCAAAAACCACCCGACAAATTGACACCAAATTTGGACACAAGACACCTAACAACCCAATGTATGTCCACTAAAAAAAATTGATATTGTCATTTGGGAGTTGTAGTTGCTGGGATTTATAGCTCACCTACAATCAAAGAGCATTCTGAACCCCACCAACGATGGAATTGAACCAAACTTGGCACACAGTTCTCCCATGACCAACAGAAAATACTGGAAGGGTTTGGTGGGCAGTGTCCTTTGGTTTTGGAGTTGTAGTTCACCTATATCCAGAGATCACTGTGGACTCAGACAATGATGGATCTGGACCAAACTCTACACAAATGCTCAATATGCCCAAATGTGAACACTGGTGGAGTTTGGGGAAAATAGAATCTTGTCTTTCGGGAGTTGTAGTTGCTGGGATTTATAGTTCAGCTACATTCACAGAGCATTCTGAACTCCACCAACGATAGATTTGGGCCAAAGCTCCCACACAGAACCCCCATGTGGGCCACAGCAACGCGTGGCAGGGGACGGCTAGTGTACAATAAAACCAATCGACCTTATTCTTCGTGCAAGGATTAACTATTAGGGCCAGACTTTCAGAAAGGACCAAGGCAGTTTGGGATAACCGGGCCAGAGGTAGTGCAAAGTAAACCATACGGGGCCATGGAAATAGGTAAAGTGCAATAACCAGACTCAACAGTAGTAGCAATGGGGCCTGTAGACGCTCATTTCCTGAGCCAATTGAGGACCTGACCAGGGTAATTTTTTGTTTTGTTGTTCATTCGTTCAGTCGTTTCAGACTCTTCGTGACCTCATGGACCAGCCCACGCCAGAGCTCCCTGTCAGCCGTCACCACCCCCAGCTCCTTCAAGGTCAAGCCGGTCACTTCAAGGATACCATCCATTCCATCTTGCCCTTGGTCGCCCCCCCTTCCTTTTTCCTTCCATTTTCCCCAGCATAATTGTCTTCTCCAAGCTTTCCTGTCTTCTCATGATGTGGCCAAAATACTTCATCTTTGTCTCTAGTATCCTTCCCTCCAATGAGCAGTCAGGCTGTTTCCTGAAGTATGGACTGGTTGGATCTTCTTGCAGTCCAAGGCACTCTCAGACCTTTCCCCCATCACCACAGTTCAAAAGCGTCTATCTTCCTTCCCTGTGGTCCAGCTCTCACCTCTGTAAGTTACTATGGGGAATACCATTGCTTTAACTTTGCAGATCTTGGTTGCCAGTGTGATGTCTCTACTCTTCACTATTTTATTGGTCATTGCTATCCTCCCAAGAAGTAAGTGTCTCCTGATTTCCTGGCTGCAGTCTGCATCTGCAGTAATCTTTGCACCTAGAAATACAAAGTCTGTCACGGCCTCCACGTTTTCTCCCTCTATTTCACAGTTGTCAATCATTCTTGTTGCCATAATCTTGAGTTTTTTATGTTTAGCTGCAACCCAGCTTTTGCGCTTTCTTCTTTCACCTTGATTAGAAGGCTCCTCAGCTCCTCCTCGCTTTCGGCCATCAGAGTGGTGACATCTGCATATCTGAGGTTGTTAATGTTTCTTCCAGCAATTTTTACCCCAGCCTTACATTTGTCAAGCCCCGCTCATCGCATGATGTGTTCTGCATACAAGTTGAATAGGTTGGGTGAAAAGAGTATACAACCCTGCCGTACGCCTTTCCCAATCTTGAACCAGTCTGTTGGTCAGTTCTGACTGTTGCTACTTGGTCCTTGTAAAGATTCCTCAGGAGAGAGACAAGGTGTCTTGGGATCCCCATACCACCAAGAACTTGCCACAATTTATTATGATCCACACAGTCAAAGGCTTTAGAATAGTCAATAAAACAGAAATGGATGTTTTTCTGAAACGTCTTGCTTTTCTTCATTATCCAGCGAATATTGGCAATTTGGTCTCTCATTCCTCTGCCTTTTCTAAACCCAGCTTGTACATCTGGCAGCTCTCTTGCATGAGGCCCCTTCTACACCCTCCTTATATCACAGGATTTGATTCCAGATTATCTGTTTGTCCCATATTATATGGCAACGGAGACTCGTATAATCCAGTTCAAAGCAGATAACCGGGGACCAGATCTTGGGATATAAGGACAGTGTAGAAGGCGCCTCATATAATCCAGTGCAAAGCAGATAATACACATTTTCTATGGCAGTGTAGAAGGGATCTTCTTTAGAAGGCAGAAGTGAGCAAAGGTCCAACCTGCAAAACTCTTCTGGTTTTATAAGATTTGCATTGTTTAACAAGACATCAATATTAAGGTTTAGGAAGCAAGATTCCAACACTATTTTATATTGTGAATGAAAATAAATGCTACAATTAGGCCAATTTCTTGCCCTTCCTTATTATTTGTACAAAGTAGGCTTCCCAGTAGTGTACTTCTATCCCTTATCACAGTGTTTCTCAACCTTCCTAATTCCGCAACCCCTTAATACAGTTCCTCATGTTGTGGTGACCCCCAACCATAAAATTATTTTGGTTGCTACTTCATAACTGTAATTATGCTACTGTTATGAACCGTAATGCAAATGTCTGATATGCAGGTTGTATTTTCATTCACTGGGCCAAATTTGGCATAAATCCCTGATACACCCAAATTTGAATAGTGGTGGGATTGCGGTGGATTGATTTTGTCATTTGGGAGTTGTAGTTGCTAGGATGTATAGTTAACCTACAATCAAAGAGCATTCTGAACTCACCAGCAATGGAATTGAACCAAACTTGGCACACAGAACTCCCATGACCAACAGAAAGTACTTGAATTTTCCAGTTGTAGTTAACCTATATCTAGAGAGCACTGTGGACTCAAACAATTATGGATCTAGACCAAACTTGCCACAAATACTCAGTATGCCAAAATGTGAACACTGGTGGATTTTGGGGAAAATAGACCTTGACATTTGGGAGTTGTAGTTGCTGGGATTTTTAGTTCACCTACAATCAAAGTGTATTCTGAACCCCACCAATGATAGAATTGGGCTGAACTTCCCACACAAAACCCCCATATCTTGAAGGGACTCACTGGCACAAGCCTCCCTCCAGCCTTGCACGCTCTCCCTCGCCCACACATGCACACCATGCTACCATGAGCTGAACACGCCTGCTCTCCCCTCTGAGCTTGGTCTCAGAAACAGCCCTCCCCTTGGCTGAGAGCTGAAACATCGGCCAATCACAGCGGAGGAGGGTTTTTGGTGAGAGGATTCACCCTCTGTTTCCAAAAAGGAAGAGAAGGACAGGTGGAGAGATCTTCAGCCTTCTCTGCCAAAGGGGCTCCTAAGACCATGAGAAATATTTGTTTCCTGATGGTCTTTGGTGACCCCTCTGAAACTCCCTTGAGAAACAATGCTTTACCAGAAGATAGTTAGCCCTTTCTTAATGGAAGAGGGTCGTGATCCATATTCTGACTCTTTTTCTTTCTCCCTCATTACAGGGTTCCTAAATTCCGATGTTGCGGTGGTGCCTTTGTTTACCTTCTACCAAATACTGCTGTGGTGTACCTAATAATACTGCTCAGCATGTCACGGCTCAGTTCGCCCCGAGAAAGTATAACATCACTGCCCACATTGAAGCTACTTTTGATTGGAGACAGCGGAGTAGGGAAATCCAGGTACATGGGGAAAGGGAGAAGGCAGTCATGGAGCAGGAAGATAGCATATAGGAGGTGTTCCTATATAACTCACCTCTTTTCTCCTTTGTCTCATCCTTCAGCCTCTTGCTGAGATTCACAGAAGATCAGTTTGAGCCATACCGCAAACCAACCATTGGTGAGCCCTGCTGTGAACTCTCCATGATTCACACAGATATACCCTATAACACAGCTTAATTTGGATGGTCATTGAGACTGATCTGGGGTCCTTCTACACATGCTGTAAAACCTGGAAGTAACCGGATTAAAAGGGGGTGGTTCTTAAACTATGTTTAGCAAAAGTGCAGGAGGGATCGAGTGTAGGAGTTAAAAACATATGTCAAAAAGGTGTGCTTATAACCCGATTCCAGCTGAAAAATGCACAAATTTGCATGACTGTATCTGCTTTGCAGTCACGCAAAACGCATGCTTTCCTTCCCTCCCCCCTGTGTAAAATGCTCCACTGCACATGTGATTTTAAAAAGCCTGAAACAGCTCATAAGGCAGTCAAATGAACACACAGGTGGTTCAAGGGAAGCACAAATGGAAAGCAATTCAAACTTTCTGAAACTCTTTTACATTTTATCTTAAACAGATGCTGAACTAACATTTAGGGGGAGAGAGAGATCCCACAGAATTCCCTCCATTATGCTCTGGACCTCATATGCACACATGCAAATCTGCTTACATTTATATTAAGATATGCGTGTGTATATGGTCCAGTTCATAACAGGGGGGATTTTTTCCCCTTTCATGTGTATTTTGTGCCCGTAACCACAGCAAATATGGAGAGCTAACTGTACATATGGTTTCCCATCGTGTACACTCAGCTTCCATCATGTTGCAATGTCATGTGCTCCCAGATCATTTAGACCAGTGGTTCCCAACCTGTGGGAAGAACTAAAATATGGTCTGCGGCCGCACCGTTACTACAACATTGCATCAAGAGCGACTGGTCTTGCAAAACCCTCTTATAGTGCCAAGGTTTATTAAATAATTAAATAATTGTTTTCTGTGGACAAGCAAATGGCAACTACTGGATGGCATATGTTGTGTATCAGAAACAAGAGCTGATGTGATCTATCCAATGCAGTTTTCTGAATCAGCACCCCAAATAACCAAACCCAATCTAAAGTTGATCAAAAACTGATCCATAACCCTTTTGGTACTAATGTTGGGAGAGTGGTCCCTGGTCAAAGTGGTCTCTGGTCAAATGGACCTTGGTCAAAAAAAGGTTGGGAACCACTGATTTAGATTGTGCAAAGATGTACAATACTTGGAAACACAAACGTATGTGTGTTTTCTTCTTTGTAGTATCTCTGGCTCTTCCAAATAAACTTCTGCTCAAAACCTGCAACTGCTTGTATTGCTTGTTCAGGCATGCCAGCTCAAAGAATGTTTCGCCTGAAAGCATTAAACTTGGTATGGTTAATTCATCCACTGCAGCTATTAAAAAGTTGGTTGAGATTCTGGTATGTAGTCTGCGAGACTACATAAAACTTTTTAAAAAAATTACAAGTGATTAAAAAATAAATAAAGGGAAATTCAAGATATTGTCTAAAGCAGGGGTCCCCAAACTAAGTCCCGCGAGCCAGATGTGGTGCTCCAAGGTAATTTGCCCAGCTCCCAGCCTAAACTTTACACTTAGGTCTGCCCTAAACCTGAAACGACTTAAAGGCACATAACAACATCAATCCTAATTAACTTGACTACAGATAAGATATATGCAATATGCACTGGAATTTGTTCAATTTTTTCTAATGATTGTCCTGCCACAGACAGCCTGAGGGACTGTGAACTGGCCCTCTCTTTGAAATATTGGAGGACCCCTGATCAAAAGGATTGTCTTCTCCCAAATATGCCTACCATATATACCCAGGTATAAGCCAAGTTTTTCAGCCCTTTCAGCTTATACTTGAGTTAAAGTTATTTATTATTTTACTTTTTTATTATTATTATTATTATTATTATTATTATTATTATTATTATTATTTTATTCTATTTATTGTTATTGTTATTGCATTTGCATTTTTACTCTGTTATTTTTATTATATGGATTATCTTACTTTATTATTATTATATTTGTTATTTTACACTTTTTATTACTATTGGAAGGATATGTAGGCACATTTACACTGAAAAAAGGTTAGAATACTGATTTAATCAGAGTTGGGCAGCCTTATCTTAAAATACAGTTTTATGCAAATGTTCATAAACATTTAACCTACTGATGCCTCAATTAATATAATTTTATTGAGTTCAATTTTTACTTTGAACTTTGCCAGTAGCTGCTGCATTTCCCACCCTCAGCTTATACTCGAGTCAATACGTCTTCCCAGTTTTTTATGGTAAACTTAGATGCCTCGGCCTTTATTCGGGTTGGTTTATACTCGAGTATATATGGTACTTACTTGTTAAGATCGTCACCAGGGGCTCTTCTCTTGGCACATGTGCCATCAAAGCTAAAGCTGATAGCAACCAAGCAAAAGGCTTTCTCTCTGTGGTTTAATGTTGTTATTAAACTAAGCTGAATAGCAAGTGGCCAGCATTGCAAAGTAGGCTATCAGTTTTGAAAAAGTCAGCGTAAGCTACATACACCTGTATGGCGATGATCCGTTTTTCACATTTGTTGAAACATGCCCTTTTGCTCTAAATCTCTGAGTATCCAGTTGCTGTGGTTTCACTTGCTGCTTTTTATTGTAGCTGCATTTTCTTTATTTAGCTATTGTATGGGTAACCCCTATCCATTTAGAAGCGAGCCCCATTGAATTCAGTAGAACTGCAGCCTTAATACATGAAATTGTGAATCCATACACATTGACTTGGCATTCATGTCTGATTTGATGTGTATAGAAATTGTACTCTTTCTATGTTTCTGTATTTATATCTGAATTGCATTTGTTATCTGCTCGCTGCCTTGTAGGCTGTGCTCTGAAAAGGCAGGATAGAATTATTTTTAAAACTCATTGTCCGGTGCGATTCCCTCTGTCACCTTGCTGCTGTAGCTCTTGTACACCTTTAACCAGGTGCAGGATAAGTAGAAATTCATCTGGCACAGCACTTTATACAGCACAAACATCGGAGGGTAAGCTTCATCTGTTGAGTTTGTATGCTTGCCACACATCTGCCATTGGCCTGTGAATCCCTGTAGAAAACTGCTATGTTTGCTCTAACTCCTCTGTGTTTCTCTGCCTCTTTGCTTGCCAGGTGTTGATTTTAAAGTAAAGAAGGTGATTGTTGGTGATCTCCCACTGCAGGTAGCAATATGGGTATGCATGCAATATCTTGTCTTTCTCTCTCAAATGGGGGGGGGGTGATTCTGGAGAGTTGCCTCTTACCAGACTGGGAAAAAAACCCACCAACTATACAGGTAAAGAAAGCATCCTTTATTCTAGGATTGTTTAAAGCAGAGCTTTCCAAACTGTGTATATGAGTTGCGCAAAAATGTTTCTGAGTCTGTGTGAAATAAGCAACAAATCATATATTTTAGAAAATATAAATGAAAGATTGTTATGAGATACATTGTGTTCTCATTTCGTTATCACAATTTATGTATGAGTCTGTATTTCTTATTGGTTTAACCTCCGGTTTGCCAATAAAACTGAATTACTGTGTGGCAAAATGATGCATGTCCAAAAAGTGGGTCACCAACATGAAATGTTTGGAAAGCTCTGGTGGAGGGCCCTTCCACACAGCCATATATAACCCAGAATATCAAGGCAGAAAATTCCACAATATCTGCTTTGAACTGAACTATCTGAGTCCACACTGACAGATAATCCAGTTCAATGTGGATTTTTATCCCAGGAACTTCCGCAGCAAACAGGAGGGTGGCCAGATAACATTCCCTGGAAATATGGAAGCAATCACTGCAAAAGGCAAAAAACGTGAGATTTCCAGGTGTGGGAATATCATGGGTTTGCACTGAATATCCACATCTTCAAATGTCTGTGTTGTTCATTTGTTCAGTCGTCTCCGACTCTTCGTGACCTCATGGACCAACCCAGACCAGAGCTCTCTGTCGGCCGTCACCACTCCCAGCTCCCTCAGAGTCAATCCAGTCACTTCAAGGATACCATCCATCCATTTTGCCCTTGGTCGGCCCCTCTTCCTTTTTCCTTCCTTTTTCCCCAGCATAATTGTCTTCTCGAAGCTTTCCTTTCTTCTCATGATGTGGCCAAAGTACTTCATCTTTGCCTCTACTATTCTTCCCTCCAATGAGCAGTCAGACTTTATTTCTGGAAGTATGATCAAATGTCTGTATGTCCCTGCAATCGGAAATCATGGGATTTTTTATCTAGGTTTGTTCCTGGGTTTTAGATGTTTGTTCCTGATTGGTTGATTCCTAAAAATAAGGTGACACTTGTGTAGAAGGCAAAAACTTTGTTTGTGTGCCAGAAACTTCATGAAACATTTTGGAGGGCACAGTTTCTCTGGCCAAGACAAAAAATGGAACTTTTGCAATGATCTGCATATCCGGATCTCCAAGTATCCACATATCTGCATCTCAGGGTTTTAAAAAAAAACCTGCCAAAGTTTCCAGCAGAAGTCCCGCAGTGGCCAACTTGGGAGCTTCTAAATCCCGCAGCAAAGCATCAAGTCTGGACAATGGAGGCAGAAATCCCGGAACCAACAGGTCTGTGTGTGGACCTCTTCTGAAGTCCCGGGATTTTTTGTCCCTATTTAAAACTCATGATTTAGTGCTATCTGGAAGTACCCTGGGTTATCTGAGTCCACACTGCCATATATTCCAGTTTAAAGCAGATAATGTGGGATTTTATTCAGCTGGGTGGAAGGGTCCTTAGAGAGATATGCTTCCAAAGCATTATTTGTAATTGGGAGTGGAGATGGGCATAGCTCTGAATCAGAGCAGCTGTAAGGTTGTATTGACAAAGGCTTTCATGGCCAGAATCATTGGGTTGTTGTAGGTTTTTTGGGCTGTATGGCCATGTTCTAGAAGCATTCTCTCGTGCCGTTTTGACCACTCCAACAACCGCCATGTCAGACTACACAGAGAAGTCATTGAAATCCATAAGCATGTGGACAATTTCAACAGGAAGGAGGAAACCAGAAAAATGAACAAAATCTGGCTACCTGTATGTAAAAAGTCTAAAATTATAACAGTAAAACAACACTCAAACACAGGGGAACTCCAGAGAGGAAACAATCAGGGACAGCTAATCACCTCTCAACAAAAGATTCCCCCAGGCAGTAACAAGCCACACCTAAAAATTGCCAGGCCATCAAATGCCAATCAAGGTGGCCAATCGAAACCTTCACACCTAGTTCCAACAGGCAAGAGTTCTTTCTCCCACCCTGGACTTCCCACAGATGTACAAACCCACATCTCCTTGTTTCCAACAGACCTCACAATGGGTTGTTGTAGGTTTATTCGGGCTATATGGCCATGTTCTAGAGGAATTTTCTCCTGACGTTTGGCCTGCATCTATGGCAAGCATCCTCAGAGGTAGTGAGGATGCTTGCCATAGATGCAGGAGAAACTTCAGGAGAGAATGCCTCTAGAACATGGCCATATAGCCCGAAAAAACCTACAACAACCAGTGATTTAGGCCATGAAAGCTTTCAACAAGACTTCACAATCTCTAAGAATGCCTGCCATAGATGCAGACAAAATGTCAGGAGAGAATGCTTCTAGAATATGGAAAAACCTACAACAACCCAGCTATAAGGTTTTTCTTCCCTAGCTGTTTCGTCTTGCCTCTCTGTTCACTTAAGGAGAGACAAAGCAAGCTTCCAGCTCCAGTGTTGTCCCATCAGCATGTTTCAGTTGTGCTTGACACCTTATTTCTCTATGAGCACCGTTTTCTTTGTGTTTTTTTTCTTGCTAAAACACTTGGCATGCAAGAAGCAAAAGTTTTGGCTTATGCACTTGTAAAACCTTTCCATAGAAGGGGGTGCCTTTTGTGATTGACTCAAAAACAGGCTGATCCATGCCCTGACACTGTGGCTTCTGAAAATCAAAGCAGCAGCTCAGAATGTGATTGCACTCCCACAGCAGGCTTGCTGCGGAAACTGTGCATATCTGCACACACACTCAATAAGACTACTGAACTTGCTCTTGCATAAAGAATAGGCAAAGGAAAGGCTGTCAAACTAGAGTACCATGTGGTTTTAGCAGTGATGCATCTGAGAATGAACCTAAGGGCAAAAAGTTACAGGCCTGTAGCCTGGGGATGCCCCCAAAGAAATACCCAAAGAACAGCAGATGATGCAAAATAAATGTATACGTAGATGTGAGAAGGGATTGGGGAAAAAAAAATGTCTGATAATCTGTGCTGCCCAACTTTGGGCCCTTTCACACAGCTCAGTAAAATCCCACATTTTTTTGCTTTGAACTGGAATATATGGCAGTGTGGACCCAGATAACCAGTTCAAAGCAGATATTGTGCCATCTTCTGCCTTGATATTCTGGGTTATATGGCTGTGCACAAAAAGAGGGAAGCAGTATGATCAACAACCAGTCTGAGTAATCTTACTTATTTTGAACTACAGCTCCCAAAATCCTTAAATCAGCATGACTGCTAGGGGATTCTGGGAATTGTAATCAAAGATAAATTTTCTAAACTTTGGAATGGAGCTAGGTTTGGATTGTGGGACTAGACACTGATGTTTTAAAGTGAGGACATCCCATTCCCAATGAGTTAGTATGAGCACTTTTTAAAAGGAACATATAGTAAACTGTTGAAGTGCGAACTGTTCCTGTTCAGCAGGACAGGCATGTCATTTTCTAAGCCGTTTTATAACATTCTGGCCCTTTCTACACTGCAGCATAATCCAGATTATCAAAGTAGATAATCCACATTATCTGCTTTGAACTGGATTATATGAGTCTACACTGCCATATGGTGCTTCTGGTGACGCAGCAGATTAAACCACTGAGCTGCTGAACTTGCTGACTGAAAGGTCCAAGGAGTGGGGTGAGCTCCCGCTGTTAGGCCCAGCTTAACTTCCAACCTAGCAGTTTGAAAACATGCAAATGTGAGTAGATCAATAGGTATCGCTTCAGTGGGAAGGAAACGACACTCCATGCAGTCATGCCAGCCACATGACCTTGGAGGCGTCTATGGAAAACGCTGCTTCTTCGTCTTAGAAATGGAGATGAGAACCACCCCCCAGAGTTAGAGATGACTAGACTTAATATCAAGAAGAAACCTTTACCTTTACATTTTACACTGCTATATAATCCAATTCAAAATAGAAAATCTGGATTTTATATGGCAATGCAGAAGGGGGATCTGTCTGTGTTTTCTGGTTTCCTTTTCGTACCTGTGAAATGGGCATTTTGTGGCCACCGAGAATGCTCAGATTTTATCAGGTTGTTTAGATCACAGAATGGTTTCTCCCTTAGGACTATTGTTTACCTCCTCGTCATCTTATTTTTTACTTTATTTCTGCAGAACTGCTGATTCCTCCTTCTTTTGCAGAGATATTCTTTTGGCTGCAAAAGAGAACTGAGCTCTCTGTAAATTATTACCCTGGTTTCAGGGTTGCACAAGTTCATACATTTATGATTGTTCAGGTAAAAGGGAAGAATACCTTTTAAGTTAGAAATCCATGTATAATTCTAGCATAATAGCTGAAAGGTTAAAGTTATCTTGACTTCCTCTTCATCTTCATATTCAGTTCAGTTTCTACTGTTGGACCTAAAATCATTTCATTCAGAACCAAAATGTTTCTTATGTGAATAAATTGCAAACTATCAGAATTATGGTCTTGGGTGTAGCCTGCTCTTAGGTTAAGACTTACCTCTAAAATTTAAGACTTGCTTCTGAAACTTAATTGGGTTCTTGCAAACCTGAACTTATTTTCCAATATTTGCACTCTGGAGTTTCCACTAAGAATTTTGTTCCAAGTACCTTTTGTGTTCCCTTTTTCGCAGGACACAGCAGGGCAGGAGCGATTTCGAACACTGACTCCCAGCTATTACCGAGGTGCACAAGGCATAATTTTAGGTATGTGGCAGGTGCAATAGTGCTGTAATTAGAAATACTCTCAAGTCAAACACATTAAGGTACAGGTAAATGGAAGTACATTTGTTCCCCGAAGGGTAGTTGGCACTGGCAAGGCTTCGAGCGACAATGAATTGTGTTGTGTGTGCCCACGCCACGCAGTTGATAGTTGCTGTTCCCTTGGCAGAAAGAGCAGGTTCCCTTCATCCTTCTTCAAATTATTTTGGATGTAAAGGCCAAAGTCTCATTAGTTTGGCTTCTGAGATGTTTCCGTTTGGCATTGATTTAGGTGGAAAAGAAATAGCCTTTCAGATTTTGAGGTCTTTTTCCAAATCAAGCTGAGCCGCATCCTGGCATTGCTCAGTATTCCCCAAAGTTCCTGTTTCAAAGTGATAGAATTTTTGTAAGTTCCATAAAGTAGTTCAGTCATCCAATGTTAAAACTTATATGGTGCAACTGTAATTATAGACTACAGGTGTGCTTGTGACATTCACAAAAATCACATTTTGGGCAACGATTACAACTGGTCTGAATGTACCAGCATGTTGGTGGGAGTACATTTGCATAAGAACAAAATGCTGTTCAGAAATTTAATTTTACACCCTGGATCTTACAAAGTAATGGGAAAATCTTTGAAACCTTTCAGGGGTTGCTGTCTTGGCCATATAGCAAAATACAACAGCAGCTAAACAAAATGGCGATACCCTTATTGGACCAACAAAAATGTGCAAGCTTTCAAAACCCCACTGGCCTCTTCATTGGTGGGGACGAGGAGCAGGGCCTTCTCGGTGGTGGCCCCTCACCTGTAGGACTCACTCCCCGGGGAAATTAGGTCATCGTCATCCCTCCTCTCCTTTAGAAGGAAATTAAAAACCTGGATTTGGGACCAGGCCTTTGGGTAATCTGGCGGATAGATAAGGCACAAGCGACGACCAGAATTGTTGGATTGGACAATGTGGAATTTGAATTTACGGACTCTGAAATGATAAACGCTGAGCACTAGATTGTTTTTAGGGACTATATTTAATGGATTGTTTTAATTGTCTAATTGTTTAATTACTGTTTATATGTTTTATTTCTTTTACCTTGTTGTTGTGTCGGCATCGAATTGTGCCTTTTTGTAAGCCGCCCTGAGTCCCCCCTCGGGGGTTGAGAAGGGCGGGGTAGAAGTATATGAAATAAATAAATAAATTCATCAGGCAAAGTTATTTAAAAAATGTACAGAAGAAGGGAAAAATGACTACATTAGAATCGGAGGCTTTGTCAAGGCATTATTTTTGTTGTTGTCAGTTAAGATGGAGGGATATCCATCGAAGAAAAAGCCATTCCTTACATTTGCCATGTGGGCTCTGGTACACCTATACTGAAGAATTAATGTGCTTTGACACCATAGCATTATACGGCTAGCATTGAGAGATGGTAATTCTGATGCTTCACTTAAGACATTTGTGGGAAGGTTGTGAGCCATTTCAGGGAAAGGGCTGCTTCTGGCAGGATTTTAAAACAGAGCTTGCCTGATTTAAAGAAAAAGGTCCTCATAGATCCCACAATTTCCTACAGAAGGAAAAAAAAACCAGAGCTAATTATTTAGAGGACAATGTGGCTGCATACCAGTGGAATTTAATCTGGAAGACACTTCTGTTCGTGAAGCCTATGATGCACCTTAGTAGACTTGTGCATTTGTATTGAGTCACTGTTTCTGTTTGTTTCATTTGTAAGTCCCCTATTTTCGTTTTTGAGTGCTTTCTGAAAACGGATGCGTTTCCAAATTGGGTTTTTTGTTCTGCATCCGAAAAAATCAAAATTTTCAACCCATTGGCTACTATGGATTATCTTCCCCAAGCTCCCTTTCCCTCAGTTTTAGGGCTAGAGGGGTGAAAATCACCATACATGGAGGGCATATCTACCACTTTTAGCCCACCAGGTTTAATGACGTTTGGGTCATCCCCCGATTTTTAGGGATTTTTTTCTTTCTATAAATAAAATCTCCTTAAAAACATTCTCTCTTTCCCCCGCTGACCCCGCCATCTTATTTGTCCAAGAGCACTGAAAAGAAGCAGGGGAGCGGAGGCATGATTTATTGTTGCCACCAATTTGAAAGGAACCAGTATTCAGGAGATTTTACCCCAGTTCCCAATTTTAAAAAGAACTGGCCGATTTGCAATGGAGGTTGCCGATTAGGAACCAAATTTACCATCAAGTTAGAAGGGAGGCTGTTCAATTGCACCTCCTCCTTTATTAAGAAAGTAATAACTTAGTAGTAATTACACTGTATATACTGTAGCGTGACTGGAGAGAAGAATGTAGATTTATTTGGTTACTTTTCCCTGCGTTTCTGCCACCACGTGAAGTAAGTTGTAATATTGTGAGAAATGGCACTTTGGACACAGAATAGACGGAGCTGAGGCAATCTTCAAATAAAAGTTAACAATTTTATTAAGTACACAGCGTGTGGTTGCAAGACGTAACTTTTCCTTGTTGCACTTGGAATAATACTTGTAACTTTAACAGTTCATTCTTTCAAGTAACACAGTATCTTTCTGACGTAGAGCACTTGTTTCAGACAAAGTTTCAATACAGGGATGTTTCCCTTATTTGATCCTCCCTAGATCAAATACTAAGTAAACTATTCTTTAGCCTCTCCTTAGACTAAAAGAATACCAGCTATGTTTCACCATTCGGCTGCACTAGCCTGAGAAACTTCCAATAGCCAAACCCAGCTTTTCAAAGCCTCAAAGCTTTGCTTCACAAGTCACTCCGCCACCTTTCCTTTCCTTCTCTCCCAACTCCTAACTCCTCACTCCTCTGAACCTAACTCCTGACTCCTCTGAACCTAAACCCGGACTGCTCACTCCTCTAAACCTAAACCCTAACTGATTTTTAACTGTCGTTTTTTCAAACTCTCCCCTCTAAGCTCCTCCCACTTCCCTCTCTCCTGCATCGGTCTCCATGGCAACGCACATGGAGGACTCCTCTGACTTAGGCCGCTCCAGCATTACTGCAGCCAATCTAAACACAAATACAGTTAAAATCATACAATTTATAATCAACTCCTGTACAAGCACCAGCAGGAGGGAAGTAGGACAGGACACCATTCCTTCCTGCCAAATGTCACACACCACACACACAGCCCAGTGCTCACCCCCACTATTTCACTTCTTTAATTGGCAGCAATGAGAGGGGGGGATTCCCCTCCCCTCCCCATCATTTTTGGCAATGGCATGGTTTATCCTTTTACCCTTCATTGCAACATGGATTAAAACATCAGAGTTACTTAAGATACCACTCCTCCTATTATTCTTTACCCTCGGTCTGCAAAGGGGACGAGCAGCAGTGGGCAAGTCAGGCAGCAAGGCGGATGGTGTTCTCCTCCAATTGGCCCAAAAGGCAGGGCTCAGGGGGAAATAGCAATTCTCCACAGCCACATGAGGAGCACCACATAGGCCGAAAGGTAGGCAAGGAAACTGTACCTGCTCTTTCTTTCTTTCCGAGGTTATTTTCGTTCCCAGGGGAGGAGTTCCTGTTTTGTGCTCCCACCCAAAACAAAAGGAACAAAAGAACGAATGAAAAGGGAGAAACGGGTACTGCACACACCTCTAAGTTTTAGTAAAAGACAGACACTTGCCTAAACTACTGAACTGGTTTATAGCTCTGCTGTCTATAAAGAAGAGGAAAGCAACTGGTGTTATTGAACTTTGAGCTGTACTGCAAGAGGGGAGGGGAATATTTGGCCTTCCAAATCAGTGGCTTTGAAACTCCAGATGTTTTGGACTTCAACTCTCAGAAGCCTCAATCAGCTTGGGTAACTTTCAAGAATTCTAGGAGCTGAAGTCTCAAACACCTGGTGAACCAAAGGTTGATAATTGTATTCTAAATGGTCCTAGAATCCCTTGCCACTGTTAGATATATTGAGTGGACCTTCTATGACTTGATGTGTAAAATACCCACAGGGTCCAAATGTTCCCTACTGTTCTCTACTTGATTTTGACATTAGGTAAGGCTTAAAAAGGAGAAAGTCTGCTAAGGACAAGACAGTGAAGTGTCTGGGAATGTAGGTAGAAAGACTGAACTCACGAAGTTCCTTCGGTTTCAATCAGTGAATCGATTTTGTGGAGATTACAGACAGAAACACTCAAAAGGCACTGTGTGGCTGTTTTGTCTTTTCCATTTTAACATTTTTCCCCTTTCGGCAAGAGGGTACTTAGTGTGGAAGAAATAGTGGGAAAACTAGAGAGGGTTACAAAGAGAGAGTGGGCTTGTAGTAGAATTCTGTATTTAAAGCAGCACAAATGCATGATAAAAGCCTTCTTTGGAGATGTCCTCTCACCATATTAATAGACCTCACAAGAAAGCTTATATACACCAACAGTTATCAAACACTGAGTGTGTGTTTTGGCATTGGTGAAAAAGAATGGACCAGATAAAAATCTTTACTCAGAAATGCTTGGTTGACAGAACATGTTTGCCAGATATTATTCAAAATTGTTCATGGATTAGACCTGATACATACATATTTTTAAGAACTGCATCATAATATAATTATTTTCCATTTTTATATGGAATCGATAGTTCATTGATTGATTAGAGTGTATATTGGAAAACAATCCAGGATAGTTTCTGGAATTCAGAAAATCAAAATTGTCCATGTGGGGACTGAGACAGTGGCCTCTTCCACATAGCTGAATAAAATCCCACATCTGCTGTGAACTGGAATATATGGCAGTGTGGACTTGGCTAACTCAGTTCAAAGCAGATATTGTGGGATATTCTACCATGGTATTCTGGCTGCGTGAAAGGGCCCAGTGATATCTTTGCTTTCTGATAATTCAGTGTACACTAGCTTTATTTCTTGCACATTATTAAAATATTGTATATAAAGTTACCTTCATGCTATATATTTCCAAATTTGGGGTCAATTCCCCCAGTGGTTTTTGAGTTCTGTTAATCCCACAAACGAACATTACATTATATATATATATATATATATATAGAGAGAGAGAGAGAGAGAGAGAGATATTTGTAGGCATCTGATTTTGATCATACCACAGAAAATTTTCTATAACTAGATATCTAGACATATAGAATTCTTAAAATAGTATGAAATTCAAATTGAAAGTGACCAGTTTGACGGGACCATCAGAATCTTTAAAGTCTTGGAAGTCTAATCTGCAATGGCTAGGCTGTAATAGAGAATTTTGGATTAAGTGGTCTTAAATATACATGTGAATAATACATACAGATTGCAAAAGCAGCTACATTGGCCCCTATGAACAAGTTCTTAAAACCATTACTCCCAAAAGCCCTATAAATGTATTAGGATCAATTATAGAAGTTTTAGGGAGTACTACTTCCATGGCCAACAAGGCAAATAAATTGGAGATTGTGTGAGTTTGTTCCAGAAATCTCTGGAAAAGGGGAATTCATTCAGACGGTGGCATCACACACTACTACTCCCCTAGTCTCTTCTCATTGGAATCTCAAAGGGCCTGAAATATGTCTTGCCAACCCGAAATATGTCTTGCCAGCCCAAATGCATCAGGTTGCTAGGAATGTAGACTATTTTCCCTCCAAAGCCCTCTGAAAATGGCTTCTGAGTGAACAGAAGATAAGAATAGAAAGAGTATGTATTATGATTAATTTTCTGCAGAATAATTAGTTTCCTGACGCCTGAGAAATTTTCTCTTTCTCCTCCCCCCCCCCCCAGGAAGAATGCCACTACAGCGAATATTCTTTGCCATTGTCAAAATCTGCAATTTTGCCCAGAAATCTTCATATTCTCCAACTGCAGGGAAAATACTATAGGCCTGTGTTTCTCAAAGCGTGCTCATCCAGGTGTTTTGGACTTCAGCTCCCAGAAATCCCAGCCAGCTTACGAGATGTTAGGAATTGTGGGAGCTGACATCCAAAACATCTCCAGGAGCACAGTTTGAGAAACTCTGCTATAGGCGTTAATACAAAGATTTATATCTTTATTACAAGAGATTGCAATACTTGATTAGGAAAAGTTGATTTATTTGTTGTTTGCTTCTTGTTCAGTTTATGATGTTACCAGGAGAGAAACCTTTCTGGGACTGGAAAGCTGGTTACAAGAGCTAGAGGTGTTTACAAAGAAAGACGTTGTGAAGATTCTGGTGGGCAACAAAATTGACGAGGTGAGTTGGTGATTTATTGCCGGTTTGGGGTGAGTAAATGCTAATAAATGGCAGGAATCCTTCATGTCCATTGTTATCGAACATGATCATTGTGTTAGCCATGAGCTGCATTTGACTGTCAAGGTATTTTAAAGGGACTCAATTTCTATAATCGGTGTTCCTTTTCTTTCCTTTCCTTCCCCCTTCCTCTTTCCGTTCCTGCACATAGTCCAACTACCATCAAATAGTCATCCCAGGAGTCTCACTTGATCTCAGAAAGTTTGTGCTTCATTCAGAATTAATTCAGAATGGTCTTGGATTTGACTCTAGATACTGTGATTTTAATAATTGTTTTAATATCGCTGTTGATTTTTAGTTTTAATACATATATTTATTTTACTGTATCTGTAAGGCATTGAATTGCTGCCTTTTTTGAGCCACTCTGAGTCCCCCTATTGGGGTGATATAAATGTAGTAAATAAATAAACACAGACTGCAGATTCTGGGAAAGCTTCCCCCCCTCTCCCCGGTGTGCAAACATATTCTACCAAAAAAACCCCAAAACAACAGCAATGGGAGCAAGATTCGCTGGTGACACAGTGGGTTAAACTGCTGAACTTGCTGACCAAAAGGTTGGCGGTTCAAATCCAGGGAGCGGGGTGAGCTCCTGCTGTTAGCCCCAGCTTCTGCCAACCTAGCAGTTTGAAAATATGCAAATGTGAATAGATCAATAGATACCGCTCAGGCAGGAAGGTAACAGTGCTCCATGCAGTCACGGCAGCCATGTGACCTAGGAGTCGTCCATGGACGCCGGCTTCCCAGCTTAGAAATGGAGATGAGCACTACCCCCAGAGTCAGACACAACTAGACTTAATATCAGGGGAAACCTTTACTTTTACCTTTACTTTAGAGTTGTTGCCATAACAATTGGGAACAACTTGAAGATGCTGACAAAAAAACAACGTAATGGGAGCAGGGCTTACACTGTGATGATTAAATTTCACAGTAAATTAAAATGAGCACAAAATACTTACCCAGAATGATTTGATATGGCCCAGAAGTGGCCGTTCAATTGAATGGAACTCTACTGTTATTGTTGTGATCCTTCAAGTCATTTCCGACTTGTGGCAACCCTAAAACAAACCTACCAGTGAGTTGGGGGGATGGTTGCTCTTTCCTTTGTCAGAGGCTGAGAGAATGTGACATGGCCAAGTGTGGATTTGGATCCTGATCTCCCAAGTATCCAACAGTCAAACCACTACACCTCTACTTCACTATTCCTGTGACCTACATTTTATGTCTGCTGATGTAAACGTAACACAAACTGAATGCAGACTCTCACATGGCTGAAGTGCAGAACACATTAGTGGCTAAAGCAAAGGGACTTCTCATTGTTTGCTGACTGCTTGGGCACAGGTGTCCCGGTTTTCATCTGTGAAAAATTGGAGGGTATGTTAAGTATTAGGCCTGGGTAACAACGGAAAAATTTGTTTCTAAAATCGATTTGTATTTGGGGGGTTTTGTTTCGATATTTAAAATAATTACAAAATTTTCCTTTTAAAAAGTTCGATATTTACAAAATTTTGTAAATGGTAAAAAATTAACGAATCGATTTCTGAAACAATAACGAATCGATTCATTAATGGCGGACGCGACCACGAAATACGCTAAAAAACCTCCAAAACCTTCTGAAGCTTCCCTCTCCCTCTGTTGTTGACTGTTGGTGTGATATTATAATTTTTTTTCACTAATTAAACCATAAAACTGGCCCAGACATGCGGAAATAATAACGAAACGACCTCAAAACAATAACGAAACGAATACAATATCGAAATACGAAGCATTTACAAAACGTTTTTGAAAATTCGTTTTTTAATAATTGCTCCAGAATGGTTCGTTATCGTTTTGTAATTGAAAAAATTAACGAATTATTAACGAATTACGAATTAACGAAACGAAACCGCCCAGCCCTATTAAGTATGTGTATATGCCTCTACCTATGGATTTATAGCATGAATTTTATAGGGCTTGCTTAGGCAAGAAATATTCAGAGATGGCTTGCCATTTTCTTCCTCTGAAAATATGGTCTACGCTCCCTGATTTACCTTGGTAGTCTCCAACCAGGCTAGCCCTATATAGCTCCCCAGATCTGATGAAAATGCATGCCTTTAGGGAAGGATGCCTGGCTGTTATTTGCTTCTATTCCCTCCCTCTTTACATATCAGCTCCAGATTCTTGTCCTAGCCTGTAGAGGCCTGCTGGTTTTTTGTTCCTTGCGTTGCCTCCCTTCCTACGCTTTGCCAGAGGCACCAGCTGCCTGTGTACCTCGGCTTCCTGGGCTTGGTCTCTCTGCCTTCCTCTGGTTCTTTTGTAATATACAATCTGTTTAGTCTGTCACTGAGGGCAGCATCTTCCCTTTTGAATGGCTCTAGTTTTCTCTTGCTGATTTTCTTGATCGATCGGATGGAGTTGTCTGGGGCTTCAGGGCTTCCCATTCCAATATGCATCTGTGCTTTTTGAACTCCCAGATCCTTCTTTCATGTTCTGCATCTTCTTGATTTTTTTTACAGCTACTAACAATTTATTTACAGAGGAAAGTCAGAAGTTAAATCAATTCTCACTATACCCAGACGAAATAGCAGTCAATTTCATCTCACAGCTGTGAGACAGGCAGATGAAAACAAAGAACTAACATCCCTTGGATTTATGGAGTGTCTGGCAGATAGTATAGATGGACAAGTATAGATGGACAGAGAGATGCATCACTCCAGCTAACTTTCGATAGATGGCTGTGAGTTTTCCGGGCTGTATGGCCATGTTCCAGAAGCATTCTCTCCTGATGGTTTGCCCACATCTATGGCAGGCATCCTCAGATGTTGAGAGGTCTGTTGGAAACTAGGAAAGGGAGGTTTACATATCTGTGGAATGTCCAGGATGGGATAAGAAAGAACTCTTGTTTTTGGTGTGAATGTTGCAGTTGGCATTGTAAAGACTTGCAGCTTCAAGGCCTGGTTGATTCCTTGCTTTGCAATGCTAATCAAGATGATTAATTGCAACATTGCAACATTCACACTTGCATACCTGTTTGGGTATCAGCCAGCACGTCAACAACTTAAATCAAGAAATAGTTTTCTAAGATCTACAGAGACACTCGCTGGAACACCTCAGCAAGCGAGAGTCCAAAAGTGGCAGGCTCAAACCCAGAACCTCAATCAATGGCTGATACCAAATGAGAGACTCCCCCCCCCCCCCCCCCCCCCCCCGGGTACACAGAAAACTGGGCGACTTGGAAGGCGCTGAACAGACTGCGCTCTGGCACCACGAGATACAGAGCCAACCTTAAGAAATGGAGCTACAAAGTGGAATCCACGACATGTGAGTGTGGAGAAGAGCAAACTACAGACCACCTACTGCAATGCAACCTGAGCCCTGCCTCATGCACAAAGGAGGACCTTTGTGCAAACACTTCTCTGGTGTTTGCAGAAACACCAGAGGCACTCCAAGTATCCAGCTACTGGTCAAAGGACATTTAATAGAATACCAAGTCTGCAAACTTTGTGTTTTGTTTGTTTGTTTGTCTGTTTTTAATGCAATACAACTGTTTTGGTTCGCTCCTGACATGATAAATAAAAAACATTCACACTTGGCTCCGATATACCTTCAAACCTCTGAGGATGTCTGAAATAGATGTGGGTGAAATGTCAGAAGAGAATGCTTCTGAAACATAGCCATACAGCCCTGAAAATCACAGCAACCCAGTGATTCCGACCATGAAAGCCTTCGACAACACATTAACCTTCAATATGTACTCGTCACTTTTTACTTATGTACCCAGTATCACAGTGAAAGGAGTTTGACAGATGTGTTCCAATGGTTTTCAGCAAAAGCTAGATTTGCATGGCACCGATTGATGCTAAAGCTGTCAGGTCAGAAAGCCACCCACTTTTAGAGTTGAGCTGAGTACAGAGTTGATTGAAGAAATCAATATGCTGTTTTCACTCATCTCTAATTTGAGATGATAAATAGAATGGCCCTCTAGGAAAGCTTTCAGAGTGTTCCATTCTGAAATAGTTCATATATGTGTGGTGCCTGAGTAATAGAGAACTAAACGGATTATCTAGTCTTTTTGCCTGCGAATGTTTTATGTGACCCCATGCATATAAAATAAGTATAAAATCAAACAAACTCCTTGTAATGAATCAACATTTAAAAGGCATGCTAAACAAACTGATTTTCCTTTTTATGAAGTATAGCTGAAGCATCTTCTGCAGAGTTCACTGTAAACCCTGCACAACAGATTTGTGAAAATATTTAAAATAGCCACCAGATGATGTTCAGAAAACTTATACTGTTGTCAAATTTTTCAGGACCCTAACATTGAGCTAAGACAGTGGTTCTCAACCTGTGGGCCCGGATATTTTGGCCTACAACTCCCTGAAATCCCAGCCAGTTTTCAAGCTGTTAGGATTTCTGGGAGTTGAAAGCCCAAACATCTGGGGACCCACAGGTTGAGAACCACAGAGCTAAGAGGACTCCTTTTGGGGTCAGGAGCCAAAGTTTAAGAAGTAGGGCCCTGAGGATTATTCTCTTTACATCCTTGGTGACCAATTTAAAAGGGGGGGGGGGGGGGGAGAGAGAGAGAGAGAGAGATAAATTGAAGGAATAAAGATTACTTTTACAAGTGGTCCTCCACATTTCTGGGATTGTCATTTGCGAATTTGATTATTCACAGATTTGTTAAATGTTCTTTTTAGAAATCTCCTGGTTCTCCAATGCGATTTGATGGTTAGCTTCCAGCAGAAGTTGGCCATAAAACCATGCTGGGGGACCTAGAAACTTTTGTTTAAATCAGATCTTGGAAAAAACACAACTCCTGAATTGCTGTGCCAGTTGGCCACTAGTTGGACTGGCTGGGAGATTTGGGGAAATGGCAGTCTGCAAATGTTTCTTTTCCGATCTCAGTTTTAAACCCCAAAAAAGTGTTCAGCGTTCAGCTGAATGCATGTTTTGTCCTGTTGCCACCTTCCTGAATTTCCTCAGTGCAGAGAATCAGTGATGCCAAGAATTAGCTCCACTAGATGATAAATAGAAGGGGCAGAGAAGAAGTTTCCTGTCTCTTTTGGGCCTTATGGAAGCTTCAGATATTTCAGACCACAGTCTTTAGACTATAGAGACAAGGAAACCTGGACTTGTTGGCACACTCACTGTTCACTGTGTATTTAAGTAAGTTTCACAATCAGATAAGAGCTCTGCCCCATCTCTGTTTCACTGAGGGTTGTGTGTGTGTGTGTTTGTATTATTGCCACCACTGTAAATGGCACTTTAGGAGTAAAAGAACAACCAAACAGCTCCCTGCTGGCGTATATTCCTACAATGTAAGTGGGAAATCAAGAGCCCCTAGTTTTCTGGGCTGCTGATTCCTAGCTCATTCCACATTTCACAAAACAGAAGTGCACCTCCAGGCATTTTGAACTATAATGCCCTCAATCTTTTCTTATTTATTATGTTTGTTGAAACATTGGAAAAGCCAAAGGTTCCCCTTTCTCTCTCTGCTATATGCCACTTGCAATTTTGATAAGTGTTTACTCCAGGTTATGAGTGGTGTTTGGGCAGGATGCTCTCCTTCAATTACTATTACAACTATCTAATTTCTTGCCCTCTCTCTCATTAAACCTATGGAGCACCACTTCCCAGGGAAATTAGCTTCCTTGCTAATCTCATTGTCTAATTGCTTGGAGAGAAGCAGATATTTGTGAAGAGGGGAGAAACAGTCTGAGATCTTGGGTGCCGAAGTCATTACCAACTTGTGGAGACCCTAGGGCAGTGTTTCTCAACCTGGAGGTTGGGATCCCTGGTCATGAGGGGGGTGTCAGAGGGGTCGCCAAAGACCATCAGAAAACACAGTATTTTCTGTTGGTCGTGGGGATTTTGTGGGGGGGGGGTTGGCCCAATTCTATCGTTGGTGGGGTTTAGAATGCTCTTTGATGGTAGGTGAACTATAAATCCCAGCAAGTACAACTCCCAAATGTTAAGGTCTATTCCCCCAAACTCTACCAATGATCACATTTGGACATGTTGAGTATTCATGCGAAGTTTGGTCTAGATCTATCATTGTTTGAGTCAGCAGTGTTCTCTGGATGTAGGTGAATTACAACTCCAAAACTCAAGATCAATGCCCACMAAACTCTTCCRGKATTTTCTGTTGGCCATGGGAGTTCTGTRTGCCAAGTTTGGTTTAATWACATCGTTGGTGGAGTTCATAATGCTCTTTGATTGTAGGTGAACTATAACTCCCAGCAACTATAATTCCCAAATGACAAAATCAACCCCCCCCCCCCCCATCCCACCAGTATTCAAATTTGGGCGYATTGGGTATTTGTGCCAGATTTGRTCCAGTAAATGAGAATCCATCCTGCCTATCAGATATTTACATTACGATTCATAACAGTAGCAATATTACAGTTATGAAGTAGCAGCAAAAATAATTTTATGGTTGTACCAAGATCTCCAATAATGCCCTCTCTTTAACTGTAGACACGTCATGAGGTAGACAGAAGAGAAGGCTTGCGGTTTGCTCGGAGGCACTCCCTGTTGTTTGCAGGTATGTGAGACTTACATGGAGGAAAAGTGACTGCTGTTTGCCAGAAGTAACATAATGGAGAAGAATGTCACCATCTTTTATTTTATTTTATTGACTATGCTTGCCCACAGGCCACAAGCCAGTTTAGAGGAACTGAGCAAATGAAGTTTTATTCCTCTCCAAGCTACAGGACTTGTTCAGCCTTTGCATTTCAATCCAAGTTTCAAGAGAGAGTAATTTTATGAAATACAATATACCAAAGACCAAAGCAAGGACATTTGCAGGAATAAAAAATGTCTTTCCAAAATTTCCCAAATAAGTTTCTCATAAACAAAACCTTCTATAAAACTTCAACAACACAGCATCCTCCAATCTGGAGCATTCAACTCTCACCATCCCCAGCAAGATGGGATGATGTAAATTGTAGTCTGACACATATGCTATACACCAAGTTTGTGAAGGCTGCTCAAACAAATGAATAACAATTTGGATATTGCTGTGCTTCACAATATTTTGCTTAAATATAAATAAGACAAAGCATTTTGCTATTGTTTCTCAGAGATATCTAAGGGCAGTTCCACACAGGGCTTTAACCTGGGCGCAATCGGGTTTCTTAAATGCAATTGCACCCAGGTTAAACTCCACACACCTTCCTCCAACTTTCCTGGGGACTTTCAGGCAGGGCACCTGAACACAAAACAACAACACCCCTCCCCCCTGCCCCCAGAAAAGCCTTTAAAAAGAAAATCACTTACCATGCTGCTGGAGACCTCCTGGCATGTAGAAATGATGCAACAGGAGAAGGGGGGCCAGGAGAGATCTCCTCCTTTCCCCTTTCTCCTGGCATGTTATTTCTATGCACCAGGAGAGGGTCAGCAGCAGAGTAATGGTGTTCGGGTAAGTTATTTTCTTTCTAAAGGCATTTTAAGGGGGGTTGGGAAAGGGGTGGGGGCTGTCTTGGGTTTCTTGGGCTCCAGGATCCCAAGAAACCCAAGACAGCTGTGTGGGTGGGCACCAGAAGTCACACAGTGCAATCCCCAGTCCCCATCCATGCAGCATCTTCCAGCTGTCAAATTACCTTGATACAAAGCAGGATTTTCCTGCTTTGTGCTGAAGGAATTTGTTTTTACCTGAGGTGTCATTTGGACTTCCCATGGAAAAATGCGGGAGGGCACGCACTTTAGGCACTGTCTGGATGTGCCCTAAGAAACTTTTAAGCTTTATAGTAGTTAATCTTAAGGCCCTTCACACTACACAGCAATAGCACTATGATTCCATTTTAAATGCCATGGCTGCATAACTAAAGAATCCTGGAATTTGTACTTTAATAAGGATTTGTAATTTTCAGCTATATGGTTTCCATTGGAAGGAACTATGTCAATTAAAATGGAATCACAACACTATAACTGTGTAGTGTGAAAGGGGCCCTGCTTTGTGCAAAACCTCAGTTCTGGAGCCTCCCTTCAGACTGAAAGAAAAAACATGTCTTGCTACTTTGTTTTCTCCTAGAGGCCAGTGCTAAATTGAAATATGGAGTGCAAAATATCTTTGATGAGGTCGTCATACGGATCCTACAGACTCCCGGACTTTGGAGCATAAAAAGACAAGAACTGAGGTTGAGTGAAAGCCAGACCCTGAAAGAATCCAATTTCTGCAGCGGAGCATCTTGTGTTGTCGCTTAAAACCCGCCAACATCAAATAAAAACAGCTCAGGTCAAAAATTTCTAAGCAGCAGATTCCTTCTGCCCTTGTCAATTATTCTGTAAATATATTGGCCATTTGCTATATCGTTGTACATTCCACAGCACATTTACAGGTAGTACGAAGATCCAGAATTGGTAACTGTCATCCCCAATATGCACATTTATTTTTGGCTTACAGCTCCCATCATCCATATTCAGCACAGGTTTTGATGCAGGGATGTCATATTGAAGAAGGGGTAGACTTATTCTCTGCTCCTCTAGAGACTAGGACATGGAGCAGTGGATTCAAATTACAGGAAAAGAAATTCTGATACTGAGAGTTGTTCTACAAAAGACTACGGTGCTTCAGAGTGTGGTGGAATCTCCTTCTCTGGAGGCTTTTAAAGAGAGACTAGATAGCATTTTGATTACACAGCCCAACCAAAACAAGTCTCAGTTTCTTGATTTTTAAGCCTGTTCCTGGGGTTATTTGGGGCACTGATTCAGAAAATTGCATTGGATAGACATCATGAGCTCTAGTTTCTTTGATATGGTTATGATGTTCCGTGGGTGAGCAAATGAAGACTGGCATATGGTATATGTTATGTATCTCAAAAACTAGAGCTAATAAGGGAAATCTGGTGCCATTTTTGGAATCAACAAGTCAAATATACCCAGAAACAGTTCTAACATTTGAGGTACCAAAATGTGTGTTGCCCAGTGTTATGTGTTCCTGCACGGGGTTAGAGATATTATGGACAATGGAATCCAAATACTGGCAGGACCATAGTTGTTTACCTCTGCTTTAGAAGATGGAATGCTGGAGACTTACGAGGCCTCTGTATTTTACAAATACACAAAGAGTTGAGCTAAACCACAGTGCACAGCTACTGTTGTCACAGCATCAAAAAGAATCACAGTACCCAAGGGTGTGCCCTCTTTCAACCAACTCAAAGCTCTTTCCTTCTGTTTCCACAGTTACCATTGATCCATCTTACTTACTGTAATCTACATCCGTGGTTATCAACTTTTGGGCTTCTCCAATGCTATGAGATTCAACTTCCTGACTCTTTGACCACTGGTTATCGGGATGTAACTTCTGGGATTCATCGTTCAGATCAAACATTGAGAATCACTTGTCTATGCTAGGTTTCCAAGTTGTACACTGTTGAATTACAACTTCCAGCATAACTAACCAGCATATGTCTGAGGATAGTGGAGGTTGTAGTTTTCCACATTTGCAAAGCAGAGGGTGGGAGAAAGGCTGTCCAGATTTCAAGTATGAGCTTCTTCTAACTCTTGCCTGAGATGCTAAGGGATTGTATCTGGGTCCTTCTACGAGGGTTATCCAGAAAGTAGGGCTGTCCAACCACGGAAAAATTTGTTTCTAAATTCGATTCGTTTTTAGGGGGTTTTTGCGTTTCGTTATTTAAAAGAATTCCGAAATTTTTCTTTTAAAAAGTTCGATATTTACGAAATTTCGGAAATTACGAAACAATTTCGAAACAATAACGAATCGATTCGTTAATGGCGGACGCGATTGCGCAATACGCTAAAAAACCCTCCAAATGGGACAGGGGGGACTTCTGAAGCTTCCCTCTCCCTCTGTTGTTGACTGTTGGTGTGATAATTTTTTTTATCACTGATAAAACAAACAACGACTATAAAACTTGTACCAGACATACGGAAATAATAACGAAATAATAACGAAACAATTTCGAAACAATTACGAAACAATTTCGAAACAATTACGAAACGAATTGGAAAAATTCGTTTCGTTTTTTAGTTGCTCCTGAATAGTTCAATATCGCTTCGTTATCAAAAAAATAACGAATTAATAACGAATTACGAAATTAACGAACGAAACCGCCCAGCCCTACCAGAAAGTCAGATAACCTCTTGAAATACAAAGGATGAATATATTTTAATAAAACTTACATGGATTGTAGCATAGGTATTACATAATTTTTTTCCACATAATCACCATTCAGTTCAGTACATTTTGTCATCCATGTGATGTTTTTGATGCCCGTGTCATAGAAGTTTCCCTCTATCTTTTTCAGCCAGTTTGTCACTTTGCTTTTCACCTCGTCGGAAAAGTGGTTTCCATCAAGGTGCTCCTTCAATTTAGTGAACAGATGATCATAACTGGGTGTGAGATCGGGGTTGTGAGAGGGGTGGCTTAAAACATCCCCAACCAAATGAAGTCAACAATTCTTCTGGTGCTCGAGTGGTGTGCGGGTGCGCATTGTCATGAAGGAGACAGATTCTCACTGTCAGCATCCTATGACATTTGTTTTGATGGCTCTGTGAGGTTTCTTCATGGTCTCACAATATATTCTGTACCCATTTTGTCACATTCTGTCTGGATATTGCATCCTCTCCATAAACTGAAATGATTTCATGATGAAACACAGCGGCGTTCGTGCTCTTAGAAGTTAGGTAGTGTTTTACAGTACGAACTTTGCACTTGGAGGGAAACAGAATGAGGAGGCTTATCTCTAACCTTCACCACGATGCCAGTCGATGAGCTACTGACAACTGGCACTGCTCGTTCGCTTCTGCTGGCCTCCCGTTACACAGCAGTGATACTAACTTCCACTCTGAAAATTCCCACAGGAGCTACATGCCTTGTAACCTTACTTTCAAGACAACCCTCGTATGTCCAAAGAAATGTTCTGTTAGAGATCTATGGCCTTTCCTGATATGTCAAGAAAAGAATGGTTCCCCAGCAATATAAATATTATTTATTTATTTATTTATTTACTCCATTTGTATACCGCATTTATCAGCCTGAGGCGGTATTATCATGTACCAAAAAGACAAAGAGGGCAATCACATAGAGTGAATTAAGAAATAATCCCTTGGTGACATAACTTTGTGGGATATTCACCTTCCAAAAAGCTTTTGCAGTAGAGTGCAAGCTTAATTGTTCAGTTACGCTGTTAGATTATTCTAATAATTTATTTTTCTCTGTTGATCTATTATATTATAGAATCATAGAATCTTAGAGTTAGAAGAGACCTCGTGGGCCATCCAGTCCAACCCCCTGCCAAGAAGCAGAACTTAATAAATCATTGTCATGATTTATTTCTGTATTTGATTTCTCTTCACACAGTCCACTGTTTTTAATATTTTAAACCTCAAAAGGGAGTATAAGAATGATAAAAAAGAATGTACTTATTTCCAAGATTTTCCTCCAGTGCTATTTGGCATGTCCATAGTGGGTAACAAAAGTTTAGAAGTGCAATATTAATGCAATGCAATAAATAAAACAACAGCATGGCATGAAATTTCAACCGGAGAGTAAAACTTGTATAACAATTCTTTTTTTCCCCAAGCCATTTTTTATGCCGTGGAATTGTGTGTATTTTTACAGACTGGAAACTTTAAAAATGCCTTGTTGAGATTCATCCCAGGGAGTGTTCTTTCAGATTACATTTCTTGCCAAAGAAGCAAAGAATCACAGGAGAGAATGTCTCTTTTTATTTGGTTTTTTTTTACATTTTGCAAATTACTGCATTGAACAACAGAAGGAACTTTTTGTCAACGAAGAAGGTTCAGCAATGAAACCAATTGCCTACAGAGGTGATGGGGTCTCCTCTTGATGTCTTAAAAAAGAAAAGATAGCTTTTATCTATATGCTGCAACCGCATTTGCTTACATTTGTTCCATTAGTTCTGACTGGCCTGCCTCTTTGCATCAGACTTCTGTTTATCCTATTCTCAGAAAAACGGACTGCAAGTTATTTTGACAGAGACTGAAGATATCTTTTCACTTTTATTACTTCCGAAACAGATATCTATTCTATTACTACTAGACAGACTAAAATAGTATTATTCAAAGTAGTGGTCTGCAGATCATTGCGACTCCTTTGCTAGTAGTCCACTGCAAGTTTTCAAGATACTGCAAAAATTGTAATAATGTGGAGTAAATATGATACTGGTCCAAAAGGTAATGGAATGAAAAGTTTGTCATATTAAATAGTATGAAAAACATGTTTGGGATGTTTGTAAACTTAAATATCCATGGGTTGTTGCAGGTTTTTCGGGCTGTATGGACATGTTCTAGATGCTTCTATAACATGGCCACCCAGCTCAAAAAACCTACAACAACCCAGTGATTCCAGCCATGAAAGCCTTCAGCAATACATTTATTATCCATGCTCAGATGCTGAAGACAAAACAGGGTGGAAACTAAATCATCTAGTCAGTCAACTAGATTGCATTGTACAGAAAGATGAAATATAGCTCTGAAAGAATAGAGAACAATGAAATGGAATGAAAGTTTAGTGGTCTGATGGCTACTCAAACAGTATGGCTCTGGGAACTCAAATAGGAAGGTGGTAAGTTCATCTTGGAGTGGGGTCCCAAAGATGTTTAAATAACCCCTGTTGAAGAATCCAAATGGGCCAGAGTTATAGCATCTGTGCCAGATAGTATACAGGTGTTTCTACACTTAAGTCTGGAACTCTTATGATGTATACAACCAAAGTCATTGATTATCCCTCTTGTGGTCTAACCACTTCACAGAATCCTAAAGTTAGATGGGATCGCAAGGACTATTTAGTCCAAAACCATCATGCAAGAATAAACAAGTAAACCATTCCTGTAAAATGCTTTTCAAGCTTCTGTTTAGAGATCTCCAAAGATGGAGAATCCAAAGCCTCCAAAGCTGCTGTCAAAAAATCTTTCTAAAGTTTAGATGCAATTGTCTTGTCATTTGAAATAGTTAGTTTGTATTCTAGAGCAGGTAATACGATTCTTCCATCATGTTAAATACGATATTCCTTCAGATACTGGAAATGGCTATCATGTCATATATCTCAGTCTTCTCCCATCTAAAGATACCCAACTCCATAAGTCATTCCTCCTAAATCATGGTTTTAAGATCTTCGATTAGGTTGGACACATTCAAGCTTGTCAATATCCTCCTTGAACAGTGGTGCCTAGTACTGGAGTGGACACAGTGAACAGTACCTTTTTCTTTGTGTGATAAAAGGGATAGATTAAAATTAACTACAGATTAACTTCTTGGGTGGAGAGAAGTTGCCATATTAGCCTCATTAATTAAGCCCCTTCCTCTCAGGGCCCTTCCACACAGCCATATAACCCAGAACAGTATCTGCTTTGAACTGGGTTATCTGAGCCCACACTGCCATATATTTCAGTTCAAAGCAGAAAATGTGGGATTTTATTCAGCTGTGTGGAGGGAGCCTCATTGCCTCAGACACTTCTCATATTAACCCTATTTTCAAGGTTGTTATGAGACTAAAGCAGGAAGAAGAGCTATCTACTCCACTGCTTCTTAGGGCCCTTCCAGACAGGCCCTATATCCCGGGATCTGATCCCAGGTTTTCTGCTTTAAACTGGATTATATGAGTCCACACTGCCAGATAATCTGGGATAAACAGAAAACCCGGGATCAGATCCTAGGATATAGAGCCTGCCTGGAAGGGCCGTTAATCTATGGGTCCTGATCCCAAATGAGGTTCCCTTAGCTCAATGTGGGGTTCCAAAAAAATGGCAACAGTAAAAGTGGTCTGATTGCCACCTAGTGGCTGTTTTAGACATTTACACAAATCTGTTGTGTTTACACTGGAAACGGCAGAACATGCTTCAACTGTCCTTCATAAAAAGGCAACACAGCCTGTTTTGCAACCTTTCAAATGCTGGTTTGCTATCAGTAAATGTTTGATTTTTATACCTATTTTATATACCTATATATCTGTGGTCATGTGAAAATTTATCAGGCCAAAAGAAGTCTCGAGTGGAAAAGTTTATGCTGCCCTGGTCTACTCCACCTGGAATTCATTGGAAAGCAGGTGAGATAGAAATCTAACAAGAAATACATAAAGACTACTGTACTAAAAAGGAAGCTATATTGAACTTCATCTCATGGCATCCAATGACTGGGAGGTTTGGTATAATACAGTCCTTTCTTTATGGCACATCATAGTGATGTCACAGTCAGAGCGTCTATGACAACCCAGAAGCGAGGAGGGGTAATTCAGAATCTGATTTTATGAGGATTTGCCTTTTTTTCTTGGGACCTGGTAGTGGAAGGCTGTACCAAGAAGATGAGCAGATTTGAAATTATCACATTCCCTGTGGTTGTTGCCAATTCAAGGCATCGGCTCCCAGTTGAAAAGAAGCAACCCCAAACATGGGACATCCCTCGCCGTCTCAAACCAGAACCAGGTAGGTTGCTCTCAATCCTAAATTCCTAGGTACTCAAGTCAGACAAGGAGATCCTATGTATTTTTTTTTACCTTGAAGTAATTTCCACTGAATTCCCTATGGGATAACTCCCAGGTAAGCACATATAGTACATGGGGACACACAGATTTGGAGTTGGAATATAGGATTGACACTACTTTAACTGCCATGGTTCAATGCTATGAAATCTCGGGGATTGGCCTGCTATGTCAAAGCATGTTACTGCATCACCAAACTACAAATCCCAGAATCCCATAGCATTGAGCCGTGGCAGTTAGAGATATCAAACTGCATTAATTCTATTGTGCAGATACAACCTTAGATGAGAAAGGCCAGTAATTAATATTTTCACTGCTGAATGTCCAAAACATTGGCATCTTGTCAACTGTCAGTAGCTCAGTCCATAAAACCTGAAATCAATCCCCAGTGTGTCAGAAACAGAAAGCAGGCCCTTGCCCAAAAATGCCTTGGAGGTGACTTGAGTAAGTGAGGAAGGCACATATTTCTTAATGTGTTTTAAAATATTGCTCCTGCTTCCAAAAAGGAATGTCAATTGCTAAGTGAAAACACAACATTATCCCACAGGCAGCCCTTAGAGCAATGTTTCTCAACCCTCCTAATGTCGCAGCCCCTTAATCCAGTTCCTCGTGTTGTGGTGGCCCACAACCATAACATTATTTTCATTGCTACTTTATAACTGCAATTTTGAATCGTCATATAAATATGTGATATGCAGGATGATATTCACTGGACTAAATTTCATTGGACACAAATACCCAATATGCCCAAATTTGAATACTGGTGGGGTTGGAGAAAATTGATTTTGTCATTTGGGAGTTGAAGTTTCTGGGATTTATAGCTCACCTAGAATCAAAGAGAATTCTGAACTCTACCAACGATGGAATTGAACCAGACTTGGTACACAGAACTCTCATGACCAACAGAAAATGCTGGAAGGGTTTGGTGGGCATTGACCTTGAGTTTTGGAGTTGAGAGCACTGTGGACTCAAACAATGATGGACATGGGCCAAACTTGGCATGAATACTCAATATTACCAAATGTTAACATTGGTGGAGTTTGGGGAAAACAGACTTTGACATTTGAGAGTTGTAGTTGCTGGGATCAAAGACCCTTCTGAACCCCACCAACAACTGAATTGGGCCAAACTTCCCACATTGAAACCCCAAGACCAACAAAAATTGTTTTCGGATGGTCTTGCGACCCCTCTGACACCCTGTCATGACTCCCCCAGGGGTCCCGACCCCCAGGTTGAGAAATGCTGCCTTAGAGCAAAACAGAGCAATAAAGTTGTGTGTTTGTGTGTCTGAGATGTATACACACACACACTTCAAATCTATATGAACGATGAGCTTAATTTACATGATATAGGACCCTGGCAAATTAGAAAAATGCTTTCTCCTGATGCTGAGAAGGGTATTCAAAAATCCAAGTAACAGTACTGAGAAAGCAGTTATTTTGTTCACTGTCCAACTAACTTTATACTGTCCTGATTTTGTAAAAGAAAAGCCCCAATTAATTCTCTGTTGTCCTACTTTTTCAGTTGCTTTTAAAATGTCCAAGTTTCATGTATTGTCGAAGGCTTTCATGGCCGAAATCACTGGGTTGTTGTAGGTTTCTCTGGCTATATGACCATGTTCCAGAACATGGCCTTATAGTCCGAAAAACCTACAACAACCCAGTCCAAGTTTCTCTCATCCACCTACATTCCTCCTTTGTCCTCAGCTTTTCTCAGTTGCTGAAAACTAAATTCACAATGCAGGTATAGTTTGCACTTAATTACTGTATGTACTTTATTGGGATGTAATTTTTATTGTTTGAATTTTGTATTTTATTTTGCAGTATTGTATCTTTGGGCTTAGCCTCATGTTAGCTGTCCTGAGTCCCCTTTAGGGAGATGGTGGTGGTGTATAAATAAAGATTATTATTATTATTATTATTATTATTATTATTATTATTATTAATTCAGTGGAAGCGAGAACAGGGCAGAGTCCTGTCTTTCTCAGTAGGTTCAAGCAAAAGCAAATTGCTGAAGCCTTTTCTACCTTATATGCTCTTCTTCGTTTATAATTTTTGCCACCTTGACCACACTTGGATGTTGCTTGGTCATGGGCATCCCAGTTTTCATCTGTGAAATGTATGAGGATAGGATTGTGAATGGAGTGGAGAGGATGAACTGGAGGAGTCCTTGTTTTCATCTTTATTTCATCACATTTCAAAACAACTGGGCAGCTTAGTGCTCCTGTGGTTGCATTCTGTGTTGTTCCATTTCCTTTACAGCTTCCTTAGCATTGATTCCTTCTTTACATGGGTCAATATAATTCTTGTGGATTCTGAGTAGGGATTGATTGAAGCACACATCATCTATAATGCTGGATTGGCCCTTTGTACATTTTCATTACTTCCTGCCAACAAGTGCTACCAAGGCAAATGTGAAGCAGCCGCCTCAGGTATGGAGGCTGTGGTGCAAGGAATGATGGAGGAGAGAGCTGAGCATATCAGTTGTCACAACCTTTTCCCCTTTTTATTGTATAAAAGTCCAGTTATGTGGAGACAGATTTTCAGCAACGCCAGAGGTTTCTGCTGTTGTTAGATTGAATGTGTAACCTCTGAAGACAGGCGATCAATTACATAAGGGCCAAAAGGCATTGGACTTTCTATAAAACAGGATAACAAAAAGAACTGTTCAAAGATTAAAACACAAGTCAAGTATCCCTAATCAGAAATGCTGTTTTGAATTTTGAAATATCAGCATTTACATATATGTACAAAATGAAATATCTTAGAATTGACTCGGGTTTAAACATTAAATTCATTTGTGTTTCATACCTTCTACACATAATTTTATATATTTTAATGACTTTATGCATGAAACAAAGCTTGTTTACACTGAACCATCAGGAAGCAGAGGTGTAACTATCTCAGCCACTGTGAAATCCTAGTTCTACCTTCTCCTCTCCTCTCCTTCAGTTTCCCCTGTTTATAGGCTTTCCCAATAGTGTAGAGACCTTCCTTTTGTATTAGTTTTTGGGTGGAGCTTAAAACACCCCTCAGAGGCCAGTCTCAGTTGGTCTATTCCATTTCCCTGTACAGAGCTTTTTGCTGGATTCCTTCTTTCTGCAGTAGGCCTGGATATTGTCTAGAATCCTTGCCTAGCAATCAAAACAGGCATTCTTAGCACCTTCTCCTGTATTTAGCAGTATTTTTATACCAGCAGTCCAAAAGACAACAGAAGCTTTTGGCTAGCCTAAGCTTCACAGGAAAGAAGATTAAGGCAGTTTATAACCATTGCCTTGCACTAGAGACAAAAGATACTTTAAAAGACCCCAGAAAGATGACTGCAACCAGCAAGTTCTCCTTTTTGTAATGTATTGTTTTAAGTTACCTTATGATAGTCCCGGGTGGAGTTAACCCTTTATTAATCTTGTTTCAGTGAACTCATTTGGTTATCTTTTCACCTTGCCTAAAGTGCCTCTGCATCTTAACAGAAGGTATCAGATAGCCCCCGAATAAAGCCAGACACTATAGTTTCCCTAAAGGCTCGGGTGTGCCATCACAGCCACCTATGCAGGCCACTGAGAGAGAAGACCTGTTCTTTTTTGTTCCCACCCAACTGAGCTTGAGATGAAGGTGGAACCGAGAGAAGGACTAAGTTGAATCAGTATAAAGCAGCTGCAAACCTCTTAATTTTTCTGGACTTGCGAGCCTTCTTGAGGCTTATTAAACCTTGTTAAGGTTTGCAGGTTTAATAAGAAAGGAAAATTCCTGTGGACAGCTTAAAAAGCAAAGGGGTTGTGGTAGACAGGAAAGTAGAAGGCGAAAGGTTGTTTGTTCTGTCGCGCGCTGGGCCTGTAAAGAATTGTCTTTAGAACAGGACGTGCAACCTTTGCCCAGCGGGAAGCCAGGGGGGCCAAAGAAAAGTTCTCAGAGGGTTTTCACCACAAATAGTCTTTAGATGGCTTGTGAAGTACAACAAAGTCCTTTATTAATGAACAATCAAACAGAAACTTCTCTTGTCTTCAGTAAAGTTAAGCCAATGATTCCAAGCTTTTAGGCAACTGGTGAATTCCTAATCTTGCCCACGAAGGACAGGCAACTGTCTTCAATAACTTCTTTAAAGGAAAATCCCCTTTTTAACTTCTCCCAGGCTTACTGTAATCTAACCCTTACTGATGTGGGCTCTGCTACCGGGTCAAACTGCTTCTCGAATGCCGAGTGGATCTACCAGTAAAGGCTTAGATGTTCTCCAGCTGGAGTTCTTTGGTCTTTAGGGCTGTTTCCTGGAAATTCTTAAAGGTTGAAGCTTTTGTACAGAGGAAGCTTGCACACATCCTATGCATTAGCTTTCCTTGCTGAGACTAACTAAAAAAATGGCTCCCTTCCCAATTGCCCTAAGCAAGGGGCGGGACCAAAACTTAACGATGATGGACAGGTAACTTGCCCTAAGACTGCAACCAAAAGAAGCCACCTATCTGCAGAGTCCCTGAAACCTAGGACTGCAATCAAACATTTAATACAAAGCAAATAAAGTTGGAGCTCCTGGTACAACTGTACCAGAACATTGTTACTGTCCAGAAATATTTCAGGTAATATTGAATAAGGATGAATCTACACTGTCATATCATGCAGTTTGAATTGTATTATATACGGTCAGCACTATAGAGCCATATAATGCAGTTCAATGCATTTCAAACTTCATTATATGGTACTGTAGATCAAGAGAAAAGTGACTTTAGAATGCCAAAACCAAACAAAAATTCAAAAGTTTCCTCCACCCCTAAAAAATAATCAGTTTCTCTAAAAATTCCCTACTGTCAAAGCAAGGGCAGGCTTGAAAAATTTACTTTGGCAGAGCATTACTCTCCTAGACAGTGTGTCCTGAACCCAATGCTAAAATCTATGTGACACGCTGCAGAGAGAAGAGGCAACAGAGCCAATATATGGCTCCTGGTTTTTTGCCAGTCCCCAGCGCCACCTGGTCCCTTCCAAGGATGATGGATGGCACAGTGGGCAAGAGTTCACTCTATATTAGATTTAAAGGGGAATCAGCTCTAATGTTTCAAAATGCCACATGTCAGCTTTTGATGCTACTTTGTCATATTCCTGCTTTCTATAATCTGGGGATCTAATTTAAACATTATGAAAATTATTCAAATTATGCTCATCACTCTAATATGCCTTCCCAGTTGTGCAAAATCAGCACTAAGTTTCAACCTTCATACCAATTTTTGCAGTTATAAATCATCTCAGGCCCCTTCTACACTGCCATATAAAATCCAGATTATATGGCAGTGTAGAAGGGGCCTGAGATAAACAATACAGACTAATGCTTAACTTGGAATATAGAGAGCCATGTTCAAATGTCTGCTTTCTCGTGGAATATATCAGGTGAACATTGGCCACTAGCTTTTCGCTAACATCCTTTTTTTGCTATGTAGATTTTTCTATGAAGATTCACCTGGGAAATTTAGCCCTGCCCTATGCTGTAATCACAGTCAATTTTTCAATCTCTGTTTTTTGTAAGCCTTCTTGAGTCCCTCTAGTGCAGCGTTTCTCAACCTGGGGGTCGGGACCCCTGAGGGGGTTGCCAGTGGGTGTCAGAGGGGTCACCAAAGACCATCAGAAAACACAGTATTTTCTGTTGGTCTTGGGGATTCTGTGTGGGAAGTTTGGTCCAGTTCTATCGTTGGTGGGGTTCAGAATGCTCTTTGATTGCAGGTGAACTACAAATCCCATCAACAAGTGGGCTATGGAATCAAAATAATAATAATAATAATTATTATTATTATTTGTATTTTGATTATTTGTATATTATTATTATTATTATTATTATTATTATTATTATTATTATTATTATTATTATTACAGAGAACCTAGTTATTCCTATGCAGTTGTAAAAACCTTTTGACCAATTGTATGGTCAGTTTCTGGAGAAGTCATAATGGAGGTAATAAAGGTTCCTAGACAAGTGTTCTCTCACAGTTTTTTCACTTTTATCAGGAGCCTGTACCCCTAACCCAGGACCCTTCCAAAGAGCCCTCTATCCCAGAATATCAAGGCAGAAAATCCCACAATATCTGCTTTGAACTGGGTTATCTGAGTCCATGCTCAGATAATGGGTCTCATCACACTAGAGAATTCATTCACTTTAAATTCAGTTTCTGCCTCCTGCAGAATTCTGGGGGTTTGTAGTTTAGAGAGGAGCCTTTAACATCTTAACTAAACTACAAATCCCAGAATTCTGAAGGAGGCAGAAACCAGATTTAAAGTGGAATAATTCTCTAGTGTGATGAAGTGGAATGTGGGGTTTTCTGCCTTAATATTCTGGGATATAGGGCTGTGTGGAAGAATCCCCAATGAAAGTGGAGGTTATGTAATATGTAATTTGTTCTTTAAACTGGTCAGTGGCATTGAGGAGATCTTCTGTACTGTAAGTCTGTTGTATGTTTATCCTGCTCATTTTTTCTCTACTTTTGGAGAAATGCAATATGTGTTTCGACTGGGTGTTGATCAGGAGAAGGGAAAATTTGCTCAAGTTTACTTCTGGACCGATGCTGAGAGAAGCACTGAGAAAAGGCACATACTATCCAGGGGTGGCAATGGGAAGTGTTTATATCAGTCGATGTTACCGTTACCTTGAAACGCTTTCATTCAATTATGTTCTCTTCTTCCAGCAAGGCGTCGTTTGGATAACAGACCTCTAGATGCCCAGCCTCACCACTACTTTAAGGTCACAAAGATTCAGGTAATTGAGCTTTTTCTCTTGCAATGAGTGCTGGCCTAGAGCCTGTGCATTGACTGTGTACTCCTCCATGGCAAGGGGTTGGATTGGATAGCCATTGTGGTCTCTTTAGCTCTTCGATGAAGTTGTAGAGTCAGTCATCCATATTTGCGGGTTTGGCATTTGTAGATTTGATTATACACTGATTTGATTAAGATATTATCTCTGGAAATCTCTAGGTCTTGCCAGCTTCTGTTGGAAGTTGACCATGGAGGGCGCTTCCAAACAGCATGAAAATGCGAATTTTAACTGGAGGCCAAAAAAACCCGGGACCTGAGAACATGTCCCCACACAGACCTGTGGGTCCCGGGATTTCTTCTCTCGCCATCCTCACAGACTTCCTCTGTATCGAAACAAGATGGAGGATGGATGTGAGACATCCAGTAGAAGGTTTTTGTTTTTTGTTTTGTTTTTGTTAATTCCTCTGTTATGTGCTGGACTGTATATGCAAACATGTAAATATCTTAATATAAATACAAGCAAATTTGCATGTGCGCATATAATGTTCCACAGATAACCTCAGGTTTTTGAAGCCAGACATGTACTGGAACACTCTCCACAGGAGGACGGAAGGAAGTCACATGTTTTTCGTGAGGGATATACAGTGATGAAAATATGCGCATTTTCCAGCTGAAAACAGGAAAAAGGGGGACCTTTTTACCCCATGCTTTTCATCCATTGTAGCAAATCAGCACAGATTTACCACTAGTGCCATGTAGCCGCCACCACCCTTTTATACTCGGGAAATCCCATGTTCCAGGTGCTGTGTAGATGGTCCCACAGTAATTCTGGAGGAGCTGGAGATTCATAAAGAAAACATTTCTCGGGGAATCTCTTGGGTCTTTAATGCAATTATATGCTGAACTTTCACTATAGAGTCAAGCTAGGAGACCATTTGAAGCACTTTGGGGACGTGAAGCCCCCGGTGGCACAGTGGGTTAAACCCCTGTGCTGGCAGGACTGAAGACCGACAGGTCGCAGGTTTGAATCCGGGGAGAGGCGGATGAGCTCCCTCTATCAGCTCCAGCTCCTCATGCGGGGACATAAGAGAAGCCTCCCTCAAGGATGATAAAAACATCAAATCATCCAGACGTCCCCTGGGCAACGTCCTTGCAGACGGCCAATTCTCTCACACCAGAAGCTACTTGCTCCTGACACACACAAAAAAACTTTGGGGACAGGGCCTGCCAAGTACCATCACATGATGCTCAGCAGGCCTTACCCCATTTAACTTCCAAGTGCTGAGGAAGCATTGCAAGATGCTTCCTCAGCAACAACGGAGAGGTAAATGGGTTTTGTTGTTGTTGTTCATTCGTTCAGTCGTCTCCGACTCTTCGTGACCTCATGGACCAGCCCACGCCAGAGCTCCCTGTCGGCCGTCACCACCCCCAGCTCCTTCAAGGTCAGTCCAGTCACTTCAAGGATGCCATCCATCCATCTTGCCCTTGGTCGGCCCCTCTTCCTTTTTCCTTCCACTTTCCCCAGCATAATTGTCTTCTCTAGGCTTTCCTGTCTCCTCATGATGTGGCCAAAGTACTTCAACTTTGTCTCTAGTATCCTTCCCTCCAATGAGCAGTCGGGTTTTATTTCCTGGAGGATGGACTGGTTGGGTCTTCTCGCAGTCCAAGGCACTCTCAGCACTTTCCTCCAACACCACAGCTCAAAAGCATCTATCTTCCTTCGCTCAGCCTTCCCTAAGGTCCAGCTCTCACATCCAATTGAGCTACCCACATTTTTGAGCCCTTTCCCTCTTGTGATGGGGGAAAGGGCAACATGGCAATGGCTGTTGTTGCCCTTTCTCCCATTTGATGGGGACAGGAACAGGGTGCCAATGCGCCTTATCCCGTTGTCCCTGTGTGATGTGGGAAGGAGGGAGGGTGTGTGGGGCACCATAAGGCACACTGCGTGACTGTGGGCAAAACAGCACGCCCCCCTCTGATGTGTGAAGTGCTCCCTAGAGATTTATAGAGAAGTATTTTCTGAGATTTTTTGAAAATAGCATTTTTAGGTTGCAGTTTTTCACTTTTAACGGTGGCACAACAAATATCGAAGGCTGGCTGTACTACTATAAAATGATCGATGGGGTGCTGCCTTTGGAAAATATTTGGAAACATTAGCAGACCCACAATGTGAAAAATTGCAATTTCTAGGGTCTCCCAAACAGCACAGGCACAAAAATATATTGTCTTTCTTCTGGTTAATGCTGACAAAGCCAAGAGTCAGAAATCCCAAAGGTTGTACTCCAAAACATCTGGAAGAGGGGTCAAAGTAGCAGACTATGTGAGATGGTGTTAGTGCACCATTAAAAAAATTGCATAGTAAAAGAGTCTATTTTAACAGAAGGTTTAAAAAACAAAACAAAATGAAGCATGTATTTTCAGTGGGCAAGACTTAGAAAGGGCATCTAATTTTATGTTTAAATAAATTTCTCTTCTTCTAATAAGCCTAATTAAGTCTCCGTACTCTCTTTTCTTCAGAAGTTAAAACTTCCGAAGATTGTGGAGGAGGAGAGGACGGAGAAGCCAAATGACCCTGTGCCATTACACCATGTAATTAAGAATGCTGAATTATCAATAAAATAAAACTTAAGAATAGATAGTTTCCCCTTTCAAATTTGAAAAAAAATTAAAACCAAAGTTATAAATGTGACATGTATAGGCAATGTGGAAAAGAGGTTTCTTAATTCCATCATATGTGCAAAGGCTATAGAACTATTCTATGAACCAGAAAAGGACCCATGTCTTCATATCACCCAATTTCCCTTCTTGACTATACTTTCCTTGTGGCAATATTGGACAAAATGTGAGATTCAAGGCTCTTCCGGATGCAACAAAAAAAATTGGAAGTTGCAGTTGAAATGTTGAAGGCTATGCAGTTGATTTCCAACCCCTGCCATGCAGGAAAAGTGCAAAGCACCCCTGACAGATGCCCATCCAGCCTCTGTTTAAAAGCCTCCAAAGAAGGAGCTTCCACCAGATGTCGAGGCAGTGAGTTCCAGCATTGAACAGCTCTTATGGTCAGGAAGTTCTTCCAGACCTCCCCATAAGCACAGCATGTAAACATTTATTAATATATATTTTGCAGTATGTCTGCTTTCAAGTAATTTTTTACACACAGCAATCTAAAACAAATTTATGGGGTTCAGACTCAGACTCAGCCCCCCCCCCCCCCCCCCCCCCGAATCAAAATCCTGGCTACGGGCCTGATTGAGTCTATTGTATTTTTTATTTTTTGAAATATAACTCCAGGTGGAACATAACTTCCCCTCTTCTCTGATATTAGACATTATAATCTAAGGTTTATGTAACAGTAATGCCTTTCGGTTGCTGTGAGTTTTCTGGCCTGTATGGCCATGTTCCAGAAGCATTATCTCCTAACATTTCACCCAATCTATAGCAGACATCCTCAGAGGTTGAGGGGTCTGTTGGAAACTAGGCAAGGGGGGTTTATATATCCGTGGAATATTCAGGGTGGGAGAAAGAACTCTTGTCTGCCTGAGGCAAGTGTGAATGTTGCAATTGGCCAGCTTGATTAGCTTTGAATAGCCTTGCAGTTTCAAAGCCTGGCTGCTTTATACCTGGGTGAATCCTTTGTTGGGAAGTGTTAACTGGCCCTGATTGTTTCTTGTCTGGAATTCCCCAGTCTTCTGAACATTGTTCTTTATTTACTCTCCTGATTTTAGAGTTTTTTTAATACTGGTAGCCAGATTTTATTTATTTTCATTGTTTTCTCCTTTCTGTTGAAATTGTCCACATGCTTGTGGAATTCAGTGGCTTCTCTGTGTAGTCTGAAATGCTCGACCACTCTAAAAACCACCATGTCAGACTACACAGAGAAGACATAGATGTAGGTGAAACGTCAGGAGATAATGCTTCTGGAATATGGCCATACAGCCTGGAAAACTTACAGCAACCCAGTGATTCCAGCCTTTGATAACATAATAATGCCTTTGTCACTTACCTGGCAGCTCTGTTTGTTATTGTTGTATGTAAAATATTTTGCTGAACCCAAATTTTATCTTCTGTTTTTATTTTGGTACTATTATGGTAGCCTATAGGTAAATAGAAATACATTACACAACATAGAATTAATATCACTGCATCAGACCTCCCTCCATTCCAGCAGCCCCACGTAACCCTTCAGACCTGTCCACAAATTACCAGCTTCCAGTGTGCCAAATATGGAGACATTTTTCAATGATAAAGTTTTGCGACACTTCAAAAGCTATTTGCAGCCTAATTTTTAAAAGGCTTACAAGACAAGCTATTACTCTTTTAAAAACAAGAGTAGCAGGAGATCCTATCACACATTTCCCCTTGTTCCATCTAGTTCAACCCATCTAGATATCACAGAGGAACAGGCTAGAGATGTACAAATTAATAAAGGACAGCATTCCAAAAATTCCACCAGATAGATAGATAGATAGATAGATAGATAGATAGATAGATAGATAGGGATAGATAGATAGAAACAGAGTGTACAAAGAAACCTAAAAGTGGAAGCTGGATTGTATACACAAGGAAATTTTGAGGCATTTGCAGCTTACAGTCCAAGGAGGTGACTATGGGACATATGTAATTATAAATGTGTTTTGAGTTCACACTGTTGATCTCTTTTCACAGGAAGCCCAAAAGAAAATTGGGCTGATTGAACGAGAGAACAAAAGCCTCTCAACACGGCTAGCTAACATCTATCGCGGAACAGGCATGGTTGACTGCTGGAATGAATATCAACAGAAGAGGTGAGAGTTTCAGAGGCAAGAGTCCCTAAAGCAGTGTTTCTCAACCTGTGGTCAGGACCCCTGGGGGGGGGGGGGGAGGGGGGGTCAGAGGGGTTGCCAAAGACCATCAGAAAACACAGTATTTTCTGTTGGTCATGGGGTTCTGTGTGGGAAGTTTGGCCCAATTCTATTGTTGGTGGGGTTCAGACTCTTTGATTGTAGGTGAACTATAAATCCCAGTAACTGCAACTCCCAAATGACAAAATCAATCCCAACCCCACCTCCACCAGTATTCAAATTTGGGTATATTGGGTATTTGTGCCAAATTTAGACTAGTGAATGAAAATACACCCTGCATATCAGATATTTACATTACAGTTCATAACAGTAGCAAAATTACAGTTATAAAGTAGCAACAAAAATAATTTTATGGTTGGGGGTCACCACAACATGAGGAACTGGATTAAGGGGTGGTGGCATTAGGAAGGTTGAGAACCACTGCTCTAAAGAGTAGTTTTGTTTTTGTCCTTTCTTGAAACAAATAATAAATTGCCAAGCTAGATCTAAGGCAAGCCAGAGACAATTGGGAGTAGAAGTCATTTGGATTTCAGATTTTGGAATACTTGTATTAGTATACTCCAGTTTGTACAGAATGAGATATCTTGGAAATGGAACCCAGGTCTAAACACAAAATTACTTTATGCTGCATACACATGCTATACACAGAAGATGATTTTATACAATATTTTAAGTTATTTTGTACATGAAATAAAGCTTGTTCATTGAACACCATAATAGTAAAGGTAAAGGTTTCCCCTGACATTAAGTCTAGTCGTGTCCAACTCTGAGGGGTGGTGCTCATCTCCATTCTAAGCCAAAGAGATAGCGTTGTCCATAGACACCTCCAAGGTCATGTGGCCAGTATGAGTGCATGGAACACCATTACCTTCCCACAGAAATCTACTCATCTTTGCATGTTTTTGAACTGCTAGGTTGGCAGAAGTTGGGGCTAACAGTGGTAGCTCACCCTGCTCCCCGGAATCAAGTTCAGCAGCTCAGAGGTTTAACCCACTGTGCCACTAGAATAATAGAGTCAAATGTGAGTTTAGACTATGAGCTGCATGTTCATACTCACTGTAATAAATTCAGATATATTGATACTGAAAATAAAATTGTTCTAATCAATAGGACTTCAGTTACATGTTGCTGATTTAAGTTCACTTGATTAGAGTGGTTAACTCAAAGTACAACTTCATAGGAATCAAACCCACAATGATGATCAACTGATGCTTGCTGGTCGAATTTTTTTTTACTATGACATAAACTAGCTTCCTGTTTTGTATCTACATTATAAAACCACTTTTGCAGTAAAATGCGACAAAAACAGAACATGGAAATTGTGAGGATTTCCATGGAGAACCAAGCTATTCTCAAGAGGATCAGAGAAAGAAAGCCAACCTACGATCGAAGACAATCTGAGCTGGACTGGCAGGCAAGTGGATTCTTCACCCTTTTTACCCAAAAGCAGGCCATGACCTTTCCTTTCCTTTTCTTTTATAGCTTGGGCTTCTGCAGCTGAAGCAGTGGGATTTTAGATTAGCAGCACTGATCATTAGTGATGTAGCTGTGATATATTAAGGCACATGTGTTAAACTCAAGGCCCGCGGGCTGAATCTGGCCCAACATGTCATTTTATGTAGCCCTCCAGAAGCCATTCCTCATAATTTTACATTATGGCTAGAGCCAGTGGGAGTTGTGATACAGTAACATCTGGAAGACTGCAGTTTGTTCTGTTTAGTTATTATAGTGCAGTTTGGATTTAGATATCCCATTATTCTGGATATGATGTCGGACATTAAAATGTCATTTAACCTTTCCCCAGCCACAACTTCAAGGTCTAAGACCATTCCAAGGTAAAATTACTGTATTGCTCTAATTTTCAAAAGCCTGCTCCCAGAGCCAGGTTTTGACTCTCTTCCTGAAGGCTAATAGGAAGGGGGCTGATGTAATGACGCTAGGGAAGGAGTCCCACAACCAAGGGGGCCACCACTCGGTTGCGGAACAACCCTACAGAACCTATCTTGTTTGTAACTTGGGGACTGCTTGTCATGTCATGGAAACCTGGCAAATACAACAGTTCTGGGAGTGGATGATTTTCTCTATTTTGTTGCGAAGTCTGCACGCACCAGTTGTACAATTGTGCCAATTTCGAATTTATTTATTTTATTTATTTACTGCATTTGTTGACCGCCGTTCTCAGCTCTAGGGCGACTCACGGCGGTGTACAACACATAAAAACAGTTTACAATAGGCAATATCACAACAAAATCAACATAACAACATAACTATCAATAATACAATTACACTAAATCATCCGCGCCGTCTCATCGTAGAATCATAAACCAAACTCGTTATCCATATTCCGTTCCGATCGTCATTGCCAATTGTTGTAGCACTTAGTTAAACATGCCTTCTCAAATAACCATGTCTTTAGGCTCTTGCGGAATGACATAAGGGAGGGCGCCTGTCTGATGTCTACAGGGAGGGTGTTCCACAGCCGGGGGGCCACCACCGAGAAGGCCCTATCTCTCGTCCCCGCCAGACGTGCCTGTGAGGCAGGCGGGATCGAGAGAAGGGCCTCCCCAGACGATCTCAAGGTCCTCGTGGGCTCATAGGCCGAGATGCGGTCAGAAAGGTATTTTGGGCCGGAACCGTTTAGGGCTTTGTAGGCCAGCACCAGCACCTTGAAATTGGGCCCGGTAGCAGATCGGCAGCCAGTGGAGCTGGAACAACAAGGGCGTTGTGTGCTCCCTGCGTCCCGCTCCTGTTAGTAACATGGCTGCCGCGCGCTGGACTAGCTGAAGCTTCCGGGCCGTTTTCAAGGGCAGCCCCACGTAGAGAGCGTTGCAGTAGTCAAGGCGGGATGTGACCAGAGCGTGTACTACCGTGGCCAAGTCAGACTTCCCGAGGTACGGGCGCAGCTGGCGCACGAGCCTAAGCTGTGCAAATGCTCCCCTGGTCACCGCTGAAACCTGGGGATCCAGGCTCAACGATGAATCCAGGATCACACCCAAGCTGCGAACCTGTGCCTTCAAGGGGAGTGCGACCCCATCCAGCACAGGCTGTAACCCTATACCCTGTTCGGCCTTGCGACTGACCAGGAGTACCTCTGTCTTGTCTGGATTGAATTTCAATTTGTTCGCCCTCATCCAGACCGTTACAGCGGCCAGGCACCGGTTCAGGACCTCGACAGCCTCCTTAGTAGCAGGTGGGAAGGAGTGACAGAGTTGGACATCATCTGCGTACAGATGACACCGCACCCCGAAACTCCGGATGATCTCACCCAGCGGCTTCATGTAGATATTAAACAGCATGGGGGACAGTATAGAGCCCTGTGGAACCCCACAAGTCAAAGGCTGTGGTGTTGAACAGGTGTCCCCCAATAACACCTTCTGGGTGCGGCCCTCCAGAAATGACCGGAGCCACTGCAAAACAGTGCCTCCGAGGCCCATTTCCGCAAGGCGCCCCAGAAGGATACCGTGGTCGACGGTATCGAAGGCCGCTGAGAGGTCCAGGAGCACCAACAGGGACACACTCCCCCTGTCTAGCTCCCGGCGCAGATCATCCACTAAGGCGACCAAGACCGTCTCGGTACCATGTCCCGGTCTGAAGCCAGACTGTGCCGAATCCAGATAATCCGTGTCTCTCAAGAATACCTGGAGTTGTGAGGCCACCACGCTTTCCATGACTTTGCCCAAAAAGGGGAGATTGGAAACAGGCCGAAAGTTGTCAAATTTAGTGGGATCCAATGATGGTTTCTTCAACAGCGGTTTTATAATAGCTTGTTTTAAGCTCGCTGGAATTTCGCCTTCCCGAAGGGAAGCGTTAACCACCACCGTTACCCACTCAGCCAATCCCCCTCTGGCCTCCTTCAGAAGCCAGGATGGGCAGGGGTCTAGGATGGACGTGGTGGGCCTCATTCCTCCAAGTATCTTGTCCACATCCTCGGGTTTCACAAATTGAAAAGAATCCATCAAAATAGGACAAGCAGGTGCTCGTGACACATCCTCAGAGACTGCATTTAACATGGTGTCCAGACCGGAACGGATCAAAGCGACTTTGTCTGCAAAGAACCGAGCAAATGCTTCGCAGCGCGTGGCCGAATTGTCAGGGCTCCCGTCTGAGGTGGTGGGAGTTAAAAGACCTCTGACAATCCGGAACAACTCCGCCGGACGGTTCCTTGCAGACGCAATAGTAGCCGCAAAGAAAGTTTTCTTTGCGGCTTTTATTGCCGCGGCATATGCCCTTAGAAAGGACACAAACCGTGTTCGGTTTGACTCGCTCGGATCCAAACGCCACACGCTCTCTAGTTCCCTCTTCCTTCGCTTCATCACTGCCAGCTCCTCAGTGAACCAAGGAGCTGGTTTAGCTCGGCTACTTGAGAGGGGACGTTCCGGAGCGATCCTGTCAATTGCCCTGGCCATCTCTCCATTCCAGAGAGCGACCAAGGCCTCGACATGGTCACCTACCGAGGTGGCGGGAAAATCCCCAAGAGCCGTCAGGAATCCATTCGGATCCATCAGCCTCCTGGGGCGGACCATCTTAATGGGTCCTCCACCTTTGCAGAGGTTAGGGGGCGCAGTGAGCCTAAATCTGATCAGGAAGTGGTCAGTCCATGGCAACGGAGAGATGGACAACTCCTCCACACCACCACCCTGCTCCCATCCCTGGCAGAAAACCAAGTCCAATGTATGTCCAGCACAGTGGGTGGGGCCAGATATTTGTTGGGACAGCCCCATGGTTGCCATGGCAGACATGAAGTCCTGAGCCGCTCCTGTGAGGGTCGCCTCGGCATGGATATTGAAGTCTCCCAGCACGAGAAGCCGTTGAGACTCCAACGCCAGGCTCGAGACTACCCCCGCTAGCTCAGGTAGGGAGACTGTAGTGCAGCGAGGTGGACGGTACACTAACAGAATCCCTATTCTGTCCCGGTCACCCACCCTCAGATGGACGCATTCAAAATTTGTGGTCTGCGGGATGGGACTCCTGGTCGAAGGTGCTTTTCCAACAACAGACAGGGTATAGGGTTTTTAACTTTAAAGAACCCACCCTCTGACACCAATTGTACTGTCTGTTCTTAAATTCTGCCACCAATTATACAGGTGTGGATGTTTATGGATGTAATTTAAGGTAACTGCCACCAACGTGAGGTATCGCCGATGTGATCTGGCTCCCCAGACGCAGATTAATGGAGATGAGACGGTCTTCAACAAAAGTTAATAAGTTTATTATGTACAAAGCGTATGGTTGCAGGCTGTTAAATAACTTGGAATGACTTATAGAACTTTGAATGTAACTTGGTTTGCAATACAGTTCACTCTTCTAGATGACACAACTTGTGATTGACTTTTACTGTGGTGAAGCACTTTATTAAACAATGTTTCCTAATGTGAATAGCCTTCCAATTTGATCCTTTCTTGATCAAATCCCAGATCTCTAGTCCTTCCCTGACTAGTGATCTAAACGAGCTTCCCTTAGTCCTCTCTGACTAAAGAAACTATTTAGGTTTCTCCCTTCAGCCTTCCTAGACTGAAGAAACCTCCGGCTATTCACACACACTGCTTCTCCACACTCCACTCTCAACTGCTAACTCCGACTCTCAACTCTCAACTGAACTGCTTCTTTTCAAAGACGCAGATAACATTTTCTTGCTTGGCTCCGCCCACTTCTCACTCTCCTGCCTGGTCTCCTTGGCAACGCTACTGTGGATACAACCAGTTAACTCTAGCTTTAGCTACTGTTACCAACACAAATATATTCTAACAGTTAAACATATACATAGTATCAGTGACTTCTGCACACTTGTCAATACTAAAAATGTGGAGACTGGAGTAAAATTAACTGCAGATGCAAATTGAAGATGATGAAGACTGCAGCCAGGAAATCAGAAGATGTTTACTTCCTGGGAGGAGAGCAATGACCAATCTTGATAAGATAGTAAAGAGAAGAGACATCACATTGGCAACGAAGATCCACATAGTCAAAGCAATGGTATTCCCTGTAGTAACATATTGATGCAAGATTTGGATCATAAGGAAGACTGGGCAAAGGAAGATAGACGCTTTTGAACTGTGGTGTTGGAGGAAAATTCTGAGAGTGCCTTGGACTGCAAGAAGATCAAACCAGTCCATACTTCAGGAAATAAAGCCTGACTGCTCATTAGAGGGAAGGATATTCTTACTTAGGCGATCCCTCGTTGTCCAAGTAAGACTGTCTTCCAAGATCGGTGTACTGGCGGTGGGTCCGTAGGTGACAGTGGAGCCCTATTCTTGATCTGCAGGCTCTCCCACAGTGAGGGCATTGGTTTCCAGGTAGAAGGCGGTTCCGGTCGGGGTTGGCTTGATGCACTTTCCTCTTGGCACGTTTCTCTCTTTCACCCTCCATTTGTGCCTCTTCAAATTCTACAGCACTGCTGGTCACAGCCGACCTCCAGCTGGCACTCTCAAGGGCCAGGGCTTCCCAATTCTCCGTGTCTATGCCAGAGTTTTTAAGGTTGGCTTTGAGCCTATCTTTAAATCTCTTTTCCTGCCCACCAACATTCTGTTTTCCATTCTTGAGTTCGAAGAACATTAGAGGCAAAGATGAAGTTCCTGGGCCACATCATGGGAAGACAGGAAAGCTTGCAGAAGACAATGATGCTGGGGAAAATGGAAGGAACAAGGAAGAGGGGCTGACCAAGGACAAGATGGATGGATGATATCCTTGAAGTGACTGCTTTGACTTTGAAGGAGCTGGGGATGGCCACGGCCGACAGGGTGTCTGGCGTGGGGTGGTCCATGAGGTCACCAAGAGTCAGAAGCGACTGAACAAATAAACAACAACAACAAAGTAAAATTAAATGGGGGATTTTTATTTGGCAGACCAAAGCCCTCATTTTTGTCTCCCTCCAAATAGTTATATTCCTGCCTGTTTTCCCATCACATGCGGCAGCTGGAAGACATGACAATCTGAAGAGGGAATATGTGATTTAAACTGCTGTAAATGGAAAGATATAGTGCCACCCCAACTGTGGCAGAGACCTGTCCCACAACTGTGATTTCTGCCTGTTTTAAGACAAAGAGTCAGTTCAGACCTTAGAGCATTTCTGCTGAACTGAGAAGTTTTATTCATGTTCCTGTTCAGTTAGTGTCTGTCCAATCTTTATATTTCCAAACAAAATCGGGACCAACAGCATTTCAATCAATTTTGCAACCCACTGCTTAGTATTTGGAGACTGTAATCATCTTGGAAGGGAAAGGGGATTGTGTGGGGCAATTTCTGAAGCTCACATGTGGGAGGTGAATGTTCTCACCCTGCTATTAGCAACTGTGGAGGAATGGTGTTTCTATCTCCCGTGTCACGCTGCAGTCTTCTCCTTCGTCTCTCTCTTCCCATTATTGTCAAAAAGGCTGCCAACCCTAATTTCTCTGTCGGTAAAATTAAAATCGCTCCCCAAAGTCAAGCCACATCTTCTTGATGTCAACAACCCTCCCACAGATGGAGAAGGCAGATGGCACAGCTGCAACCTTTGTCTTCATAGCACAAAAGTTGGCACTTCTTTGTTATATGCATGGAAATGGAAATGCTTTGTTTTCACAAATTTGGAAGGAATTTCAGTCCTTTTCCAACTCCTAGCACTGTGGGATATTACAGTCAGCTCACAACACTCGTGAGTTCATGACCCTGACAAAAGTGGGTAAACTGCATTTAAAAAAAACAAAACATTTTCAACCTGAAAGAACATCTCTCTAGGGATCTCTAGCTGCTCCAGCATGGCTTTATGGTCAGCTTCTATCTTGGAGGTTAAGATTTTCCTGGGAGGCCTTGCTCTCGGTCCCGCCTCCTTCGCAGACACGATTGGGGCCTTCTCAGTGGTGGCTCCTTAGCTCTGGAACTCTCTCCCCACTGAGATTAGATCTGTGCCCTCCCTCTTGGCCTTCAGAAAGAAAACAAACACATAGTTGTGGGACCAAGCCTTTGGCCAGTAAAGTAATGCAGTCCTAGAAATGGATATGGAATATGTGCTATTGACAACTGAAATGGCTCTGGATTACGATTTTGGATGATTTTTTAATGTTGCTGCTAAGATGTTTTAATTCTATGATTTTAATGTAACCGTTTAGCTTAATTGTTTGTTTTATATAGCATTAAATCACTGCCTATCTGTAAGGCCATTCTAAGTCCTCTCAGGTTGAGAAATGTAGGATATAAATATGGTAAATAAAAATAAATGCTGGAGGACCTAGGGATTCCTAGAGTGAGAACATTTAATTAAATCTGTAAGTCACATTTACAAGTGTGGAGGGCTAACTATTTTGCTTCTGAGTATCTGCACTAGCCCCTTATAGATTACATTTAGCAAAAATGCTAAGCTGATTTAGATAGGCTCTTAGTGAAGGAGCCCCCAGTGGCGCAATGGGTTAAACCCTTGTGCTGGCAGGACTGCTGACCAACAGGTCAATGGTTCAAATCTGGGGAGAGTGGGTTGAGCTCCCTCTGTCAGCTCCAGCTCCCCATGCAAGGACATGAGAGAAGCCTCCCACAGGGATGGTAAAATATCAAACATCCAGGTGTCCCCTGGGCAACATCCTTGCAGACGGTCAATTCTTTCACACCAGAAGTGACTTGCAGTTATTCAAGTAGCTCCTGACATGACAAAAAAGTGAGGGAAACTAAGCTGGAGTGATACGAAACTCCATAATGTTCATGGATTGGAACAAAGTGTAATATGACCTGACATGATGCCACAAGAATGGGAATGTATATTATTGTTGTTTTAAATTGTTATTTTATGATGTTTTATACTTATTATTGATGTATTTGGATTGTTGTTTACATTATTTTAATATGTTGTAAGCTGCTTTGGGCCCCGTGAGGGAGAAAAGCAGAATATAAATAAAGATTTATTGTTGTTGTTGTTGTTATTATTCAATATGATTCCATCTAATATTAAAATAGCATCATTTACTATAGCTAAATGTTTGACTATGGTTCTCTTCCTCCCTGCAGAATTCGAGGAAATATCTGAGGAACACCACCTGCTTTCTAATCTCAAATCGCGAGTAGGTATTTCAAAAACATTCCCTACCAACCCCGTTGTGTGTAGAGAAATTCCCTTTAGCTACACAGGCAACGGAAGGAGATAAACTTTTTCCAGGAAGCCCAAAGGGAACTATCTAGCTGAATGTTATGAAATGTTTGTTTTTTTCCCCCCTCTGAAACTGAGAATCAGATGTTTGGTCTTGTTGAAAAAAGCCGCGCTATCAGTACAAAACCTTGAGGCTAAACACTGAAACCTGTTACACAGAGAATGCAGGAATGCATCTTAATGTGAAACAATGGGCATGGAACTAAATGCCTTACCCACAAGTATATATGTTCAACAGCTCAAATGCAACTAAATATTATCTGAGGACTGAAAAAAACATATGCTTGCATTTCCAAGAAGTTATTAGATAATGTTTGCATTATTATTTCTGGGCTTTCATGTATATAAGATTCTGTTTTCAGACTTCCTGATATGGAAAAAAACCCACACAACCAACTTTACTGGCACATTTTTCAACTGCAACATTTAGTAGAGTTCAGCAGAGCATTTCTGTGGCCCACTCTAACACCCTTTCTGCTTATCCAACCAAAAATGAAGCCCAAAATACAGATATGCTGCCACATTTTCAAAACCGTTATCATCACTCCATTACTGCAGCCTTGCAAGTGTGCCTTTAAATGGTATTCTCCCAATCCTTTAAAACATTCTAGTTTGTTCTCACCAGGGTTGTATGCTGCTCTTGTACTCTCCTGTACCATGGAGCTACTTAGTGGGTATACTGGAGATTTGGGAGGTTAGTGAAGTGTCAAAGCATATCACCAAATCAAGGAAATTCCCTGTCCTTATTCTATAGGGCAGTGTTTCTCAACCTGGGTGTTGGGATCCCTGGGGGGGGGGGGTCACAAGGGGGTGTTGTCAAAGACCATCAATAACACAGTATTTTCTGTTGGTTATGGGGGTTCTGTGTAGGACGTTTGGCCCAATTCTATCATTGGTGGGGTTTAGAATGCTCTTTGATTGTAGGTGAACTATAAATCCCAACAACTAAAACTCCCAAATGTCTATTTTCCCCAAACTACACCAATGTTCACATTTGGGCATATTGAGTATTCATGCCATGTTTGGTCCAGATCTATCATTGTTTGAGTCCATAATGCTCTCTGGATGTAGGTGAACTACAAATCCAAATCTCAAGGTCAATGCCCACCAAACCCTTCCAGTATTTTCTATTGGTCATGGGATTTCTGTGTGCCAAGTTTGGTTCAATTCCATCACTGGTGGAGTTCAGCAACTACAACTCCCAAATGTCAAGTCTATTTTCCCCAAACTCCACCAGTGTTTACATTTGGACATATCAGGTATTTGTGCCAAATTTGGTCCAGTGAATGAAAATACATCCTGCATATCAGATATTTACACTATGGTTCAAACAGTAGCAAAATTATACTTAAGAAGGAGCAATGAATTTAATTTTGTAGTTGGGGGGTCACCACAACATGAGGGACTGTATTAAGGGATCTTGGCATTAGGAAGGTTGAGAACCACTGCTGTAGGGAGAGAGTGGAACAGTAATATCCCTGTATCCACGTGGGATACATTGTTGACTGGATTTCAGTTGCCTGTAACTAGGGATGCAACTGAATCCTATTACATTAAATGACCTCTATTCCAAGCATACCATAGGGTTGCTTTGGAGCACCTAGATATGGGTTCTGCAATTACGGAGTATTACTGTAGTTACCATTCTAGAATGAACCTTGAAGATCAACACTCAGTTCTTGTTCAGCCCTGCCACAGATGCTGCAGGTAAAGGAGAGTGTGAGCATTCTCATATCTCCCCCTCAGTTCTACAGCAGAACAGATGATCAGTACGATCTGGGAGAAACACTGCGCAGATGGTCCACATGTAGAGCTCTGAGACATTACGCCGCAATCATAGTGGGAATGGGCATCTTTATCGTTCCCCATCAGGTCTACAGAAAGGCTGTGTATAAAGGGCAGTTGTGGCCTTGGCAAACATCTGTGATTCTTTTGAAGGAGAAGTTTCATAGGATGGCAAGGGCACCTTGACCTACATTTGTGTAGGACAATTTTGTGGGATGCTCCAACTCTCTGAACATTTTAGACTATACTAGTTGTCCCCTGCCAGGCATTGCTATGGCCCAGTTTGGTAATCTGGAAAATAAAGTAATGAGAAAGTGTTGGTTTCAAATTATATAATTTCTTTATGCTTGTAAGTAAACAGTATTTCTTGTTTCTTTGTCAGTCTTGATGTAGAGATCAAGTTTGCCTACTCTGTCTAGTTTGCCTACTCTGGAACATGCAACATACAATTGTCCTTTAGGGGTCCCTTTCAAATCTATTATATTATATCTGTCATATATATGTCTGTGTGTATGTGTGTGTGTGAGAGAGAGAGAGAGAATCATATTTATCTATCTATATCTATGGCTGGATGGCTCTTTGTCAGGAGGGCTTTGATTGTGTTTTGTTGCCCTGGTGAAGGGAGTTGGACTGGATGGCTTTAAGGCAGCATTTCTCAACCTGGGAGTCAGGACCCCTTGGGGGGAGGTTGCAAGGGGGTGTCAGAAGGGTTGCCAAAACACAATATTTTCTGTTGGTCATGGAGATTCTGTGTGGGAAGTTTGGCCCAATTCTATCATTGGTGGGCTTCAGAATGCTCTTTAATTGTAGGTGAACTATACATCCCAGTAACTACAACTCCCAAATATCAAGGTCTATTTCCCCAAACTCCATCTGTGTTCCTAGTTGGGCATATGGAGTATTCGTGCCAAGTTTGGTCTTGATCCTTCATTCTTTGAGTCCACAATGCTCTCTGGATGTAGGTGAACTACAACTCCAAAGCTCAAGGTCAATGCCCACCAAACCCTACCAGTATTTTCTGTTGGTCATGGGAGTTCTGTGTGCCAAGTTTGGTTCAATTCCATCATTGGCGGAGTTCAGAATGCTCTTTGGTTGTAGATTAACTATAAATCCCAGCAACTACAACTCCCAAATGACAAAATCTTTTTCTTTCTTTTTTGTGATGGTCACTCTTTGAGTTAGTAGGTGTCTTGTGGCCAAATTTGGTGGCAAATAGTCATTCAAAACAAACAGAGCATTTTTATATAGATAGATTAATCATTACTGGAAGGGGAAAGATTCCCTGCCCCATTTGTTTGTTCTAGTCCTATTGTTCAGGTCACCATCTATGAAAATATTTTGAAGCATAGTAGAGAGGGTGCAGTAAACTACACAGAGAAAAAAAATCCTCTTTTTTGTATTGGGAATTGGTTCTATGAACTATAGTCCAAAATTAATTTTCCTCTAGCTTTGGTTAAAACCTGTTACTACAGCAAGAAATTGGCACTACTAGGCCTGTGCGGTTTCGTTCGTTAATTCGTTAATTCGTTAAACATTCGTTAATTTTTGCATTTACGGTACGATAACAAAACATATTTCCAAACCCGGAAGGGTTTTTAAATATCGAAACGGCAACTCCCACAGTATTTACGAGCTTTTGCCCGTTTTGTAAATGGGGCGGGCGGGGCCTCCGCGCCTCCGCGCGCCATCCAACCGGCCTCCGCGCGCCATCCAATCGGCTCCGGCTCCTGCGCCCTCCCTCCTCCTCCTCCTCCTCCTCCCAGCTGTGTTGCAGGAAGCGCTCCGCTCACCCTTACAACCGGCCTCCGCGCGCCATCGAATCGGCTCCGGCTCCTGCGCCCTCCTCCTCCTCCTCCTCCTCCTCCTCCTGGCACTTCCTGCAACACAGCGGGGAGGAGGAGGAGGAGGGGGAGGGCGCAGGAGCCGGAGCCGATTGGATGGCGCGCCGCGCTCACCCTTACAACCGGCCTCCGCGCGCCATCCAATCGGCTCCGGCTCCTGCCCCTCCTCCTCCTCCCCTCCTCCTCCTAGCACTTCCTGCAACACAGCTGGGAGTGGGAGGAGGAGTAGGGGGCGCAGGAGCCGAGACCGATTGGATGGCGTCGCAGCAGCGCGTCTACCCTTGCAACCGCTCCGCGCGCCATCCAATCGGCTCCGCCTTCTGCGCGCGGAGGCCGGTTGTCTCTTCGCCTCTCCCAGCTGTGTTGCTGCTGCAGGAAGTGGAGGAGGAGGAGGAGGAGGGCGCAGGAGCCGGAGCCGGAGCGCAGGAGCCGGGGAGGGGATTCCTGCAGCGCCGGCTCTGCCTCCGTGGCCCGCCTGAGATGAGACCAATACCATCTTGAAGGCTGCATCCAGGCTCTTTTGCTGTGAGTTTTCTTTTCAGGGCTGTATGTTGACCATGTTCCAGAAGCATTCTCTCCTGACATTTTGCCCACATCTATGGCAGGCATCCTCAGAGGTCTGTTGGAAACTAGGCAAATGGAGTTTATTTATGGAATGTCCAGGGTGGGAGAAATGAAAGCCATTCAATGCTAATCAAGGTGACCAACTGCAACATTCACACTTACAAAATGTTTTGTAAATATTTACGAAATTTCGTAAATAACAAAACATTTTTTTGGAAAGTTTTGTAAATATTTTAAATATCGAAACAAAAAAACACCCCAATTACAAATCGATTTTAGAAACAAATTTTTTCTTGATCAAACAGGCATAGGCACTACAGAAAGGAAGCTGGCTTTCAAAGGCAGCCCTGCTAACAAGGATGGTTCCTTCCAGCAGTAGCCTTGATCTAATCCCATATGCTTTTGGCATGCATACCGATGGCTCTGCTTCCAGGATACAGAAACATCCATGAACTGCACAGCTAATTGGCCCTGGGCTGTTTTGTTAGCTCTCAAAGCTTACCTCCTTAATCCATAAATGGTATGTCAAATTCCAGAGATTATTCTTTGTTGTGGGCACAAAGAGCACATGTGTGTGGCTGTGCAATGATGGTGCCAACCACACTGGACTGGATAGACCAGTCATTCTCAACCTGTGGGTCCCCAGGTGTTTTGGACTACAACTCCCAGAAATTCCAGCCAGTTTACCAGCTGATAGGATTTCTAGGGGTTGAAGGCCAAAACATCTGGGGACCCACAGGTTGTGAACCACTGGGATAGACCAAAAGACTATCCCAGCAAGGAGACTTTCTGAAATTGTGAATGAGTGTTGAGACCTAATGCTTTCTTTTAGATTGGGCTCATGGGAACAGAAATATAATCAAATTTTCTGATGCTGCACAGGAGTAAAATTATTGCACTCACATTTCAGTCACATCCATGAATTTCATAAGGTTGTCTTAAGTAAGGAATGCTCAGACATGTTTTGCCAGTTCCTTCTCTGGCATGTAGCCTACAATACCTGGTATTCATTGGTCGTCCCCATCCAAGTACTAACCAGAGCTGACGCTGCTTGACTTTCAAGATCAGACAGGATGAGGTATATTTAGAGTATTTAGGTTCTTCCCATAGTTGACCCAACATAAAAGTACCACAGTGATGTATGGACCCACAAATCTCTTATGCTGTGACTTTCTAACATTTCCCCTTCTGGTTTATTGCAGGAAGCTAGGCGCTGTGAGAAGTAACAAGGCTTTTGGGACTGCTCGGTTATGACGGCTGGTTGATAGCGTTCTCAACAGCTGGCTGATAAACATTAAGATTTAGAATAAAACATGAGATGTTGAACGCACACATTTGGAAGGCATGCTTTATATATGCACAATTTTCTTAAGATTCTGTTCAAATTTTGTACGAAACGCGGGTGCCACAAAAAGCTAGGGGCAGGTTAAACATGGACATGTTTCATTTGTCAACAGCCATCACAGGCTTTCTTAATATTTTGTTAGGATTGTTGTTTCTCTTGAATATGTTAAGGTAAAGATAAAGGTTTTCCCCTGACATTAAGTACAGTTGTGTCCGACTCTGGGGGTTGGTGCTCATCTCCATTTCTAAGACAAAGAGCTGGCGTTTTCCGCGGAGACCTCCAAGATCATGTTAACACCCCCCCCCCCCCGCCCCCAACACAACCACAGTCCTTGTTCAAGTAATTATGACCCTGTGTTGACGAAGGCTTTCATGGCTGGAATCACTAGACTGCTGTGGGTTTTCAGGGCTGTATGGCCATGTTCCAGAAGCATTCTTCCTGATGTTTCACCCACATCTATGGAAGGTTGTGAGCTCTGTCAGAAACTAGGCAAATGGGGTTTTATATATCTGTGAGATGTGCATGGTGAGAGAAAGGACACTTGTCTGTTTGAGGCAAGTGTGAATGTTGCAATTGGCCACCTTGATTAGCATCGAATGACCTTGCAGCTTACAATGTCAGAATACATAGAGAAGCCATTGAAATCCACAAGCAATTTCAACAGAAATTAGGAAACCATGAAAATGAACAAAATGCGGCTACCAGTATTTAAAAACTCTAAAACCAGGACAGTAAATAAAGAGCAACACTCAAAAAACAGAGGAATTCCAGACAGGAAACAATCAGGGCCAGCTAATCACCTCCCAACAAAAGATTCCACAAGGCAGGAAGCAGCCAGGCTTTGAAGCTGCAAGACTATTTAATGTACCAATCTCAGATCCTCTATTCTGACTCATGAGGTGGCCCAGCCTCCTGTTTTGTCTAATTTTCATGGATTTTTGAAATAAATTACTTTTTGTGGTTTTATAGCTAGTCTTTAGGCCAAACACTACATTGATTCTGATCGACAACATAACAGATGGTGAAAGGTTAGTGAAAAATTCTAATTTCAAGGTGATGAAAATGTCTAATGAGGAAGAGCACGCACACACAAGGAGAGGCAATTTGCTTTTGTTTGAAGTTGCTGGGAAGAGCAAGAGGCTGCCCATCCTCTTTCAGCTGCTGAGTAAATGATGTGCAATCTACTTTGGCACTTGAAATTCAGTTTGCAGTAATTCAAGAAGGAAAGTGAAAGATGGAGACAGAAACTAGTCCAGTGGGTCATTTTGAAAACAGATGGAAAAGTGGGACTGAAAGACTCTTCTTGCTATATCAGAACAATTGGAGGGAATGTACCTGGAGAACAAGGACAGGAAGAGCACAAGAGTGTTAAGATCCTTCATTGGACCTCTCAGTGACTTTCAAGATTGCTCCAATATGTCCCTCCCCCCAAAAATCTGGATATGTTGTACTGTCAATATATTTGAAAAAAACAACAACTAGGCAACAGGAGTGTAACGTGGGGTCTCACTTTTTGAGGGATGAAAAAAGAATTATATCCTACAATTTGTAACTATAATAATAAGTGGTTGCTTTGAGGGTGGGGCATGGAATTACAAAGATTACAAATTAGTTTTTAAAGTAACTTTTTAAATACTCTGAATGCAGCTTATTTTCAGCAATGATTAGATTCAGTTGCAACAATTTGATGCTTGTTAAAACCTTCCTTTGGGAGATAGTAGATACCTAAATCTCTCCCTACCAGTTCTGTATCAAATCAGGGATCATGAGGATCTTGAAAACAGCTGGGCAACCTGCTGTTCTGTTCCTCATCTAGAGCCTGAGCCTCCCAAATGGAGGAAAGCACAAAAAATGAACAATTTCCAGCTGTTATTTCAGCCTTGGTAACATATCTGACATATCAACCCCCTCTTTCCTCCATCATAAATAGATGCATTAAATTAAGATCATCAGGGAACCACAACTCACTACAAAGTAATCCTGTGCCATATGCTCACTTAAATATGGAATGCAGCTGAGCATACTAAAATATGGGATAAAGGTGGGTGGAAAAGGAGAGTGTCTTTTTACTGCCAGGAACAGAGTGGAGGAAGGTGGTGAGGATGATATTAAAGGTGAGGAAACCAAGATCATTAGAGCAAAATGAATTTTGTATTGTTGAAGGCTTTCATGGGCGGAATCAATGGGTTGTTGTAGGTTTTTCGAGCTGTATGGCCACGTTCTAGAAGTATTCTCTCCTGATGTTTTGACTGCATCTATGGCAGGAATCCTCAGAGGTTGTGTGGTCTGTTGGAAACTAGGAAATTGGGTTTATATATCTGTGGAAAGTCCAGGGTGGGAGAAAGAACTCTTGTCTGTTGGAGCTAGGCATGAATGTTTCAGTTGGCCACCTCGATTAGCATTTGATGGCATTCACACTCAGTAGCCAAAAGGTAGGCTGTATTCACAGGTAGAAGGGTGGTAAGCATGGTGAAGCTTCAAGCTTGATTTATTACACCATGTAACACAATTTTTGTTCCTGGGTTATAAATGTCATTTCCTAATTGAGTCTATCATAAAAACATGGAAAACGTTTATTAAATTGCAAAAAAAAAACCCCTTTGTTTTTATAGGACTGGGCTTGGCGCAGCTAGTTATAGCCAGCTGCATTAAATCACTACTGACCAAGAGGTCATGAGTTCAAAGCCTGCCTGGGTTGGAGTGAGCTCCCAACCATTAATAGTCTAGCTTGTTGTTGACCTATGCAGCATGAAAGACAGTTGCATCTGTCAAGTAGGAAATTTAGGTACCACTTTATGCAGGGAGACTAATTTTACTAATTTACGACACCATAAAAGCTCCAGAATGAGGAAGTACTCCATCAAGGACTTGGTGTCACAAGTGGATGGTGAAGTGGCAGCTCCCCGTGTGGCCGGAATCGAGCATACCCTCATGAAGCCAGAAACCAGGAATGTTAATTTGCCTCTGAGTTTGTCTATATATGTTGTATCTATATATGTTGTATGTCTATGGCATTGAATGTTTGCCATGTATATGTGCATTGTAATCCACCCTGAGTCCCCTGCGGGGTGAGAAGGGTGAAATATAAATACTGTAAATAAATCCTGCAGCACATTTTGCTATATTTTTTATGAATATCTCATCGAGTCTCAACCAATTCAACATAGTTTGTGGCAGCCACAGAAACAAAGTTTCTGGAACATAACAACTTTTCAAAGTAAGTATCACAATATTAAACAGGAAATAAAACTTTCAAACTTGGAATAGAATTTTTTTCAAATTTCGTTACATAGTGTTATTTTTCACATTTCTCCATTTTACCATCGTATGCTTTGTTTACATCAGGATGTGAGACTGTTTCCTTTATGCATGAAAATCCATACACATTTTCTTCAATGCATGTGTTTATTTACACACTTTTTTGCCCGTTTACCAAAGCATGTTTGAATTTATTTTTCAATGGTCTGCATTTTGTTTAGCCATTTGCATTTTTAAAATATCTGCATAATTTCAGGCAATATAAAACATACTGTGAGCCTCTGAAACATGCAAATTTCCAAAACAAGCTGTGCTCTGTCTCTCAATGGGACTCAAGAGCTGCAAAATCTGTAAACCATTAAAATTCTTTTCCACTCTGCCTCGAATGCACCCTATCCTCCTTTGAAGACTAACCAGGTTGAGCAAAAATCAGCAGATACTGGTTACTTACCACAGATCTTCTCATAACTTGAAAATGCTTTAGGCTACACACCCCAAAATTCCACAATCAGCCTGTCTATGAAAACCAAGTAGGCTGTGGTTTGGAAGTTGAGGTGCATGAATATTCACTTTCCCAAGTTCCGGACCTTCTCCTGAAAAACACCCCAAATACCTGAGCTCCTCCAGTACAATTGTAAAACAACAAAGAAGGAAACAAGAAATACATTGACAACTCCACTTCTAAAAGACAGGTTTGTGATAAAGACTTTGGCTGATACATCTACAGCACAAACCCTGGGAAGATATGTCCTCGGGTTTTCATCAATGGGACTCAATTTTATAGAAAATTACAACACAAAGGCATTACATTGGAACATAAAATCACTATGGATTTTCCAGAAGAAAAGAAGAAAACACAAACAACACACACAGTGTGCTCAAACATTTCCCAATCCCAAAATACACCTTGTTACATACCAAAAACAAATACCTGCGCACACAGGCCCCAAAGTAAGTGCCAAAAATCCACATGCTGCAAATTTAATTGTTTGGTTGTGTAGTTTTATATTGCATAAAGCATTTTATTTCTAAGCTTCTTTGTTGGTCCTTTTTGAAGTGAAATTAGGGGACAAAGAGTAGCCATTGGGGATAGGTTAAATATGAAAAGCTGGAAATGTGGAAAGATTGTTACACCCTCCACCCACTCTTTAGAAAAGCCAAGTGCACCTTCCTTTGTTCAAGAAGACCAAGAAAGAAAGAAAAACTACACTGTTTCCTTAAGCACAAGTACTAGAAACTTGTTTTGCTTTTAAGGAAAAAAGGATGCAGCACAAATCAGGAATGAGAATCATATGGCGTCCCATATACTCTTTGACTTCAAGATGCACCAAATGTCTCTCAATTGACTAAGACTGACTGGACTTGCCATTCAAGAACATCTGGAGGACTACATAATTCCCATTCCTGACCTGAATCTAGTTTTTAGTCCACAATACTGTTGATTACACTGAATAAATGGTGACTTGGTTAATCCAGAATTCTTTAGGGCCCCTTCCTCATAGCTGTATAAAATCCACATTGAACTGGATTATATGGCAGTGTAGATTTAGATAATCCAGTTCAAAGCCGATATTGTGGATTATCTGCCCTGATATTCTGATTTATATAGTGAAAAGCCCTAGGTCCCACTGATTCAATAGGTTTACTGTATTTGGTATTTACAATTAGATTTAGACCTATGCTTTTCCAGATTTTGGACTCTGTGCCCAGTTCAATATATTTCTCCTACTGTTGTACATAAATTCATATACAACAAAACAAGAACAAAAATTAAAAAGTGTCCACTTTTATGACTGTTTAGCAGTTTCATAGGTATGCAAGACATCAGCATTGTGTTTCACAGGTGTGCAAGACATGAAGATTTATTATCCCTCCTGTCAACAGATCCATAGTTATGATTCTGTGAGATAATAGGACACATTTACAGTTGAACTTCAAGAGAAGCTTGCTTGTCCATTCCTTTTCACTATCCGTTATATCAAATATTTTACATATTCAAACAAATAACAGAAGAAGAAATTGATTGGGAGTAAGTAATTGCACTCTGCATATTTTGAGCATTTCAAAGCCTTGCTGAAAACTGGCACAAGCAAAACAGGCAGAGCATAGAAGCATCAGGCACCTCCTTGTTTACCTATTTGGTGTGGAGCTTGGAAAAAAGAGGTATGGGTTGTTGTTTTATGACATCTTTAGGACTTCTCAAACCAGTGTGTCATGGATGCTTCAAGGCATCTGGCAGCTGTGGCCCCCTCAAAACAAATGCTTCAAAGCCCAGATCGGGAATTTGGTGCCATTTAAAGGAGGTGAGATTTTCAACATCCCAAGTAGGAGAACATGATTTACGAATGAGCCCAGTATAAGTCTGTCTATGTCTTCAGACCTTTTGGAGAGGTTCTTTGTTCTCACCCACCAATTTCACAAGTACATCTATTGGAAATACAGAGAAGGGCCTTCTCAGTGATTGATCCATTACTTTGGAACTTCCTTTCAAAAGAAATTGGACTGGCACCATCCTTACTATCCTTTCCTAGGCAGATTTCAGTTCCAGCCAGCCTTTGATGGTTGGCTGCTCAGAGGGGAAGAGTCTTAAGTATGCTGTGTGGTTTTTCATTATTGTTTTTCATTGCTTTTCAAACTACCGTTAATATTATTGTTTCATCATATTTTAACTTTTGTATGATATATAGTACATAGAATCAGTACCATCTAACAAATAATGCCCTCCCTAGGCATTTCCTAGGTCCTCCAGCATGACTCTTGTTGGAATTGGCCTGATGAACTCCCATTTTGACAATAGCTGACATCTCACCCATGGCTTGTATTGTTCTGTTGGAATTGCCGCTGATATTTACAATGTCGCAAATGCTTTAGCTGTATCTTTAGCTCTTACAAGCAGCAGAGTCCCAGAAAGGCCAGGATATAAATAAATATAATAATGATAATAACAATGATCATGAGTGTGATAATAACATTAATTTAGCACATCATTTAGATAGGCCTTCTCAGACCCAGCACTCACCAGATACATGGTACCATACTACCCATTACTCATGCTGGCTGAGGCTTTTAATTTTGTAGTGACACTTTCTTAAATCCAGAGCCCTGGAGGTAAATATCTTGGGAAATATTTTGGAGGGAACACTAATCCCAGAATGTGGGATTTAGGATATAGTAAAAAATGAAATTTCTTTAACCTCTAGGTCCAGAGAACACTGGCCCAAATCCTACTCCTCCTAGGTCATAAATCAATATATGAATAATGGAGTCAACACACAGGTAGATCCATTTGATTCAATGGGTCTGTTCCAGTTGGAACTAACAATAACCATTGTCCATGCTTTCCCATATTTTGTAATTCTCTCACATCTTTTCCAGCACTTGTCTCTTATCTTATCAGGAAAAAAATACATTGTAGAGAAAAATGACAGAATAACTGCACACCCTTTCCCATATGAATGCACTGGGAACCTTCTGCTTGGAAGAAACCTTGGTCTGGCCTAAATTGCACATTCAAAACCATGCAAAATGTATCCCTCCAGATACTTGGAATCTGAAATAAGATTACTGTCCAATGATGCACATGCCTCTGCATTGTATTCTGCTAGAACTTTCCATTCCGTTGCAGTGTCTGTCCGTTCCTCTTAAGCAATAAGGTTTCATCGGAATATATACCTAGATGAAGAAGGCTCCTTTTTGCTGCTTATCTGAGGAAACTAGCTAGGCTAGTGTGATTTTTTTTCCCTTTTGGTCATCCATCCATTCTATTTACAACATATTTTTGGCACAGCATAGAGAACTATGACCTAACCCAAGAGACAGGTACCCAAAAGGATTCTGTAGTTAGTTTCTCTAATATAGTTTTCAACTGGGTGCAAGCACTATGGAGATCCTCCTTCACCAAGATAGTGTCAATCAGGTGCCCGTACTCTTCTTCAATGAAGGCAGCGGAATTTACCATTTCTTGCTGCTCTTCATCCTACAAATTAAGACAAAAGAAAGAGCCTGTGTCATGTATATGTCAAAATGCTAGACTATAGTCCCAGGAAATTGACTGGTGACCTAAAGTTAGTCCCTCTTACCTTGCAAAGCCATTATAAGGTGGGGAGGGGGGGATAGAAAAGAAGAACATGTATGCTATCTTGAACTCACTGGACACAAATTATATATATTAGCTCAATGAATACATTTAGTGTTGTTCAAAAACCATGTACGAGGGTTAGCTAAAAAGTAAGTTTACAAGGCACGTAGCTCTCACGGGGAATTTTCGCAGGAGAAGTTGCTATCACTGCCGTGTAGCGGGAAACCAACGATGAAGACAGCAATGGATGACCATCCATTGTGACCGATGACATGGCTGAAAAAGGCAGTGGGAGACTTCTATGGCACAGGCATCAAAAAACTCATCCCATGGATTGATTGATTTATCGTGTCAGGGACAGACCAAACAGTTGCATTGCAGTTTTTGACAAACAAACAAACAAACAGACAGACAGACAGACAAACTAAACACAAAGTTTACAAGCTTGGTAGTTGATTAAATGTCCTTTGACCAATGCCTGGCCACTTGGAGTGCCTCTGGTGTTGCTGCAAGAAGGTCCTCCATTGTGCATGTGGCAGGGCTCAGGTTGCATTGCAGCAGGGGGTCTGTAGTTTCCTCTTCTCCACACTTGCATGTCGTGGATTCCACTTTGTATTGAACTGAATGGTGATTATGTGAAAAAATAATGTAATACCCATGCTATAATCCATGCAAGTTTTATTAAAATATATTCATTTTTTGTGTTTTTTACAAAAATCCTGTAGCCTTACTTTCTGGATATCCCTCATACAGAGTAAACTTTGCACTTGGAGGGAAACGGAATGAGGACGCTCATCTCTAACCTTCATCACAATGCCAGTTGATGAGCTACTGATGACTGGCACTGCTCATTCACTTCTACCGGCTTCCCACTACACGGCAGTGATATCAACATGAAAATTCCCCACAAGAGTTACGTGCCTTGTAACCTTACTTTCCAGAGAACCCTCGTAGAATTATCCAAGAGAGATAAAAAGACTAAAATTGAATATTTTAAATTATTACTTTTGATAAATTTACAGTTTATACAGAACACCAGTTACACAGCTTTTCAGTGCTCTAACCATTGAAGAGATCTCCTGTGTTGATCTTTGCTCCAGGAAAGATTGAGGGTGATGCGAGTTACAGTCCTTCTGACTTTCCTGCCAAATACTTACCAGTGGGACAAATATGTCATCTGGTGACAGAGATGTCGGCACATTCTTTTTCTTCTCTGAGACAAGAGGCTTCACAAACACTACATAGGGCTTGAATTCCGCTGTCCTCAAGTGCTTCACAGCCTGAACAGAGAAGCACAAAATGAGATCTCTATTCAGCAAGACAAGATGGAGTGAGGGAAAACCAGTCAAAATGGAGTCTGGTATCATTTATCCTGTTTTGGGTTTTCCCCTGATTTGGGAGGTTGAGGAGGGGGTAGCTCTGTGAGTAAAATAGGGTGAAAGGCATTGTGCAAATCCCTTTTTGTAGTTGAGAGACAAGGCAATGCAAGTGAATGGGGATTTCCTTTCCTCTCTATTTTTCTTTTAGAGGTGACAAACTATTATCAGCTCTGCCTGTTTTAGCAGAACTATGGCTATTACTGCCATAGAATGCCTCTGGCTAGGCCAAGTTCGTGGCTTTATGCTTAGCTTCCAAGATCAGACAGGATCTTTACTTCAGTTAGAAGCTCCTTGGAAGTTCTCAGCAGATTTACTGTTCCATTAGCATGGAAGCCGCAAACCCTTGCCCAACTTGTGTTTCAGATTGTGTGCCCGACTGGGGCAGATGATGGGATCCTGATATTTTCAGTCTCTGATTTGACCTTGTATTTCATCCATCCCCACTTATGTTCCAAATGAGGAATAAGAGCAGAGGTTCTTAAAAATGGTTCTTACTGTTGGAAATAGCAACCTTCTCAAACCTCCACTAGTTATTTGTCATGTATATAATTGCTTATTGTATTGTATGTGTATATTGGTTTGCAATTTTACCTAAACTCTTTGTTGTGGGAAGGGCTGCAGACCATGTGATCAGAAATAAACATGTTCAGTATTAAGACTCCGTTTTAGATGAGTGTTTGCTTTGAGAAGCCATGTGGAGAAGTGTGTGTTTGCATCAGAGGCAGTGAGCACAATTATATAGTTTAGACTGCAGTAATATGTATGCTTAAAAACCCCTTTGGACTATGCACTATCGTTTCTAAGGAGGATGTTCTCTGTTACCTACACAGAGAAACTGCTACAAAATCCTATTGCAACTGGATTCACAAGCAAAACGCCTGTTACTTTTAAAGAAGACTGTTTATTTTGTCTCATGAGAACATGATTTAAATATATTTTAAGGGATAGTAGATGTTTTTGGGAAACTAAAGGAATCCTTCCGAAACTCTGCTGAATATATGTTTTTGTGCATTGGCATGTCTTTGTCCCTGGCAGTTCAAATACATACCTAGGTTTAATAGCTGAGAGACCTAGTTGCCTTGCATGAATGCTGGTGGACATCACTTTTCAAAAGGTTGTGACTTCTAACAAGGTCATGCCTTTCCTTTGATCAATGATTTTCCAAAAAGGTGATGAATCCCATTTCCCAAATGTTTTTGGAGATTCACATTTTCCAAAAGGTTATAGCATCATTTTGCCAAAACTTAGAGTCATTTCCAACTTTATGGTTCCATAATTTTAATGTGACTCTGGGACTAATATCATTCCACACAGCCTCGGGTTAGAATAAAACAAAAGGAATAAATGGGGAATACAGATGGTGATATTGTGGGATCAGCAGTGCAGGCATATTTATTTATTTACCACATTTATATGCTGCCCTTCTCACCCTGAAGGGGATTCAGAGCTGCTTACAAGTAAAAAGTAAATACAATATTTTATATTATTATCATAGCACAATATAAATATTAAATATTACATTGTACTATAACATTATACTGTAATATTATTAGTATTTTTTCTCCTTTAATATACAACTATTAATTTATTGTTCGGTCATATTAGATGTTCTTCTCAACAACAGCACCTGAAGCAATGGACAGAGTTATAAAGTCCATCCATACAGCCACAGCTAAACAAAAACACCAATGGTACCAAAACATTTTCATTTGAAAATGCAGGTCTGTACTCAATCAAATATTTAAAAACAAAACAAAAATCAAGCACAGAAATGTAAAATGATAATCTCTCCAACAGCAGGTGAGACAAAGTTTTAGAATGCAACAGTAAGTATTTTTCTTAAAGACAAACAGAAAGCAGAGATATTAACATGGATACAAAAGTATGGAGTTTGAGTCATCCTTGGTCATGTTTACAGTGGACCAATTGAGATCAGAAATAATGTGAACCCTTCTGGCTTCAACTGTATCCTTTATGCTATCACTGAGGGTGGATCTAAGGATGAGACCACTACTAAAGAATCAGAGTTTAGAAAAGTCACTTTTTGGATTACAGAATCTGTCAGGGTCACTCTGGATTTAATGTGCAAAAGATACCTTGTGGTTCTCCAGATGTTTTGGGATTGTAATTTCCATGGCCCCAATAGCCATTTTAGGGCCCTTCCAGACTGGTTCTATATCCCAGGATCCAGGCCCGTAGCCAGGATTTCGTTTCCGGGGGGGGGGGTGGGGGTGGTTTTTTTTCAAGGGGGGGTTGGGGGGTGCTGAGTTTCGGGGGGGGGGCTGAGTCTGAGTGAAAGAGGGTCTACCCTAGCAAACCGTTTGTATCATTACCCCAATACCCCCATGCATATGGGATATATTGAGTATGGTGATCAGATCATGATATGAATAAACATAACAGTTTAAATAATGCACCAGTAAGGCCTTTTCGTGAACCACCATGAGAATTTCGGGGGGGCTGAAGCCCCCCGAGGCCCCCCCCCCCCCCCCGGCTACATGCCTGCCAGGATCTGATCACAGGTTTTCTGCTTTAAACTAGATTATATTAGTCCATACTGACAAACAATCTGTGATAAACCTGGGATCAGATCCTGAGATATAGGGCCTGTCTGGAAGGGCCCTCAGTTAGTGGCAATGGTTAGAGTGACAGTCCTTCAACAGTTGGATTTCTACAGCTGAACATGCATAAACAAATCAGAAAAAAAATCTTCTGAATGAAGTGATGGAGAAACATGTAAGTTTGAGGCTAAAATAGAATTCACCTTTTTTGCTGTGCCACCACACTGAAGCTCATGTTCAATTTATGATTGACAGTAACACCAAGGTCCTTTTTGCATTTAATTTGTAGAATTTTGCATTTGCCTCTTGAATTTAGATGGATTGCACTCTACAGTCTATCAGCTCAGTAGACTTATTCTCGTTTGGGATTCTAATATGAAGGACAGGCAGGTTTAACCTTTTGTCCCAGCTGCTGTTCTGCTCTGGATCCTACGGAGTGTGACAGAGCTGTGCCACAATGGGAATGGAATTTCCATTGTATCCAAAGCACCCATGTATTTCAAAGGGACGCTTCCCTGTTCATATTGAATGTAGATTAATTAAATGGTGAGTCAATTTTCAAATGCAAAAACCTGTTCATACCGATATTGAAGGGCCCCCGAAAAGAAAATCTGTAAGAGCAAACAATTTAATAAAAAATATACCTCAGGCACAACATCCACAAGGCAAATTTTGTTTTTGAACATGACGGTCTGTATTGCCTCAAGGCTTGTCCCGTAGAGATTTTCCTTATATTCCCCATGTTCTACAAACCTGGCAGGATTTAAGCACAAGAAAGAACACTCATTTCAAAACAAACAATGGTGGGAAAATGCCTAAATGCTTGAATGTGGTAGCTAAATGTGCCTATTTTAATAAAAGTTGCATAAAGAAAACAGGATTTAAAGAAATCAGTTGATAAATCTATAACCTCCATTCTGCCAAAAAATAATATTCATATAGACAGTGATAGCCCCCACTGGTGCAGGGTTAAACCACCAAGCTGCTGAATTTGCTGATCGAAAGGTCAATGGTTCAAATTCAGTGAGTGGGGTGAGCTCCTGCTGTTAGCGCCAACTTCTGCCAACCTAGCAGTTTGATAACATGCAAAAATGAGTACAGTGTTCCCTCGCTACTTTGCAGTTCGCTTTTCGCAGACTCGCTGTTTTGTGGTTTTTCAAAAAATATGAATTTTAAATGTACAAGTAGCGAGGGAACACTGTATACCCAATATCAAAGTGCGCTGTTTCTCCAGCGTAGATGCTGCCACAGATTTGAGTTGCACAGAGCAGAAGAACCGCTCTCGTGCTGTCCCGGGGAGGGGGCAAGCCAGGAACCCCTTGGCAGTGACACAGGTGCATGGGAGGTGACATTTATGTGCTTCCAAGAAGCCGGAAGCACCACCCTGGCTGGAGGAGGTGGCGGGCTGCAAGGAAGGCATGTGTGGGGCTGGCGAAGAGCCCCATCTTTCCTGGAGCCTAGCTGAAGTAGCACCAGCGAGGGGAACGGAGAGGGTCACCAAGGCAAATTCTGCTGGGGCTTCTTCCTCGGGTGACTGGATGAGAACCCCAGGCAGGTGGGGAAGCAGGGAGGGAGGGAGAAGGGCGGCTCCAACAAGGGGAGGGGAGAGGGAGGGGAAAAGAGGAGAGGAAAGAGAAGGCAAAGGGATTGAGTGAGTGAGAGAGAAGGGAGAGAGGAGTGGGCAGAGCCACTCTTAGGAGGGGGTGGTCCTATGCCTCGCATGTGCTGAGGCAGTACATATACAGCATCCCTACTTCGTGGATTTTCACTTATTGCGGGTGATCCTAGAATGTAACACCCGTGATAAGTGAGGGAACACTATAGATCAATAGGTACCACTAGGTTTTCATGATTAAGTGGGGAATCAAAGCCAGGTCTCCAGATTCATAGTCCTACACTCAAACCACAACACCAGACATTACTGGCAGCAAACAATGCCCAAACTATAGAACAGGCTCCAGAGTAGTTACCAGAAGAGCTAAAATTCCAGTTTCTCCCCAGTACTATTGTTTTATCACCAATGCCTACTTGTTATGCTGCACATCAGTTTCAAAGGATTGTTTTGACACAAAGTTGTACTCCACACCCTCCTTTTCATGACTCTTCTTGGTCCTTGTCGTATCTGTAAAAAAGAAGAAACCACAATTAGATAACATCAATGTTTTCAAATGGAGTGAAATCACCTGTTTTGCAAAGGAGCGTTTACTCAAATAGTACCTAAAGAAGTAGTGCCAGCTATAGTATGGCTAAGAGAAAGGAGTAAGCCAGAACTTTGGCTTCATTGGGTTCAACTCTAATTGGAATAAGCAGGGAAGATTACTCCAATTTCACAGAAGTCGGGCAAAGCAGTGCTCCACAAAGTTCCCCATGTTTTGAATGTGTTATTTCCTCCCATCAGTCTTCTAGAGAATCATAGAATCATTGTGTTGGAAGAGCATCCAGTCCAACCATCTGCCAAGAAGCAGGAAAATCACATCCAAAGCACAGATGACCATCCAGCCTCTGTTTAAAAGCCTCCCAAGAAGGAGTCTCTATCACACTCTGGATGGACAGACGGCCATCCATCCTCTGTTTAAAAGCCACCACACTCCAGGGCAGAGAGTTCCACTGCTGAACAGCTTTCACAGTCAGGAAGTTCTTCCTAATGTTCAGGTGGACTCTCCTTCCTTTCCTGTAGTTTGAAGCCATTGTTCCGCGTCCTTGTCTCCAGGACAGCAGAAAAAAAGCTTGCTCCTCCCTCCATATGACTTCACATATTTATGCATGGCCATCATGTCTCCTCTCAGCCGTCTCCTCTTCAGGCTAAACATGCCCAGCTCTTTCAGCCGCTCCTCATAGGGCTTGTTCTTCAGACCCTTGATCATTTTAGTCGCCCTCCTCTGGACACATTCTAGCTTGTCAAGAACACAAAAGAAGGTAAATACCCCAGATAGTAGATGCTGAATTGTGTGGAGCAGAACAGACAACTCTGCATCTGTATGCTTGTCCACTATGCCCGCCTCATGTACAGAGGAAGAATTGTTGAAGGCCACAGACAATGCTATTGCTGTTGCCTGTTTTTGGTCAAAAGATATTTAGCCGCCTGTGCTCCTTCTATTTTTATCAGTTTTATACTAATTTATGAAATGCTTTTGATATAAAATAAATAACCTGAGTGTACATGTGGAAAACTTTTGAATAAAGTAAAAACAATACACTGAAAATCAGCAGTAACAAGGATAGCAAAATCCAAGGAAAATCAATTTTGCCTCTGCCCCCAAGTGTTGGTTTTTAAAAAGCTTCCTTGAGGATTTTTTAAAAACTTGTCAAGAGAAAGGAGGGAAGACTAAATTGGTTGCTTCGAAAGCCGATTATAGTTATATTTAGTTTCAAAAGGGTGAACATCACAAGAATAAGAGGAGTTAAAGGAAAGTTGAAGGGAATATTCAAAAGGGTCATAACCCTTCCAGGTGCTTGGAGATTATTGAGAAGCTGTATAATAGAGAATTTAATCACGATGATTGGATTGCTATAAACGTTTTAGTCAAAGTATAAAACAAACATTCATGATTTGGACAGGATGGATTAATTTTTCTCCTAAGGCACAAAAAGAACAATTAATTAAACAAAAGTAAATGCCATTTGAAATAAGTGGATTTTGCATTAGGATGAAAGCCTATGCTTGACTTATGCTAATTGTACTGTAGAGATGGAATAATAATAATATAAAGTAAGAAAGCTAATAATAATAATAATGTAATAATTAATAGAATGAAATACTTGAAAAGAGTTTAAAGCTGATTACAATCATTACATGGTTGGAAGGAAACGATAAAAGGCAAAAAGAGTGAGAGAAGCCCTATTTTCCTTTGGTAAAACAAAGAAATGTGAGTCAGAATCCTGTATGTGGTTTGCTTATGCTTAATCGCCATATTTTTGGTACTATGCATGGAATCTAGGTTTAATTCTCCCTAATCCACATTTGCTGGGCAGCAGTCATTGCACTTAACAAGAATCTGTTCTCCTCTTACTCTGAAAGCAGTTATTTGCCTTTTCAATATACTTCTATGAATGATCTCCAGTGCAACAGGCAGAAAAAAAGTTCTTGTTGCAATTCATCCTCAGTCAGCTGCTTCCTGATTGACAGGGAAACAGATCCTCATTAATCGCAATGACTGCTGCCTGACAAATGATGGTTGGGAAACTTTCACTATTTCTACATAGGTCCTGAATATACATCAGTCAGAAGTACATGACTCTAGGCAGGGGCAGCTCAATCCATTACGCAAAGTAAACATTTGCAGTATAGATGATTTTGCCCAGGGGCACTCTTGAGGTGCTCTTGGGGGAAAATAGACCTTGACATATACGAGTTGTAGTTACTGGGATGTATAGTTCACCTACAATCAAAGAGCATTCTGAACTCCACCAATGATGGAATTGAACCAAATATGGACATATGGAACTCCCACGACGAACAGAAAATATATATCAGTGATTGGTTTGGGGGGAGGGGGGAGCGCCAAAATACTGTTTGCTTACCGTTGAAAATTACCTAGGGCCGCCTCTGACTCTAGGTTATGCATTCGTAACACCCATAGAGGATTCTGATCAGAATATAAATGTGAGAGAAGAAACAGTGGAAATAATCTAATACAGAAAATCTATACCAGATAATGATGATGGTAATCATTATCACTGTTATCATGCCGGGCTGGGCCGGACTTAGCACAATGGGTTAAACCGCAAGCTGCAGAAAACCTTGCCGATCGAAAGATTGACAGCTCAAGCCGAGGTTGGGGTGAGCACTTGCCATCAGCCCAGTCCTGCTTACCTAGCAGTTTGAAAACAGCAATATGAGTAGATAAATAGCTGCTGCTTTGGCGGAGAAATAATAAAAGGCGCCCAGGCAGACATGCTGGTGATTTGTTTGGGAGGGTGTCTAAAAACAATGAAAAGCTCCTCGGTGTGGAAGATGGAGCAACAGCACCTCCCAGTGGCCGGAGTCAATCACAACCTCCAGATGCTGGAGATGGAAAAAGATGGGAAGCCATTACCTCTGTTTATGTACTGTCTGTCTATGTTAATTGTATAACGGCATTGAATGTTTGCTGTATATGTTCTGTAATCTGCTCTGAGTCCCCTCAAGGAGATAGGGAAGAATATAAATAAAGTATATCCTCCTCCTCCTTCCTCCTCCTTCCTCCTCCTTCCTCCTCCTCCTCTTCTTCTTCTTCTTCTTCTTCTTCTTCTTGCTAGAGATCATGTTGGCTGACTGGAGGATTCTGGAAAACCTAGTCTGAAAGCTCCAGAGGTGCTTAATAGCAATGTCAAGTCCAAGTATGGAGAAAAAATTAAAAAATACCATTCTCTTGTTAGTGTATAGTCAAATTTGAAGTAAATTAATGAAGCTTGGGAAAAGGATCATAATGAATTGAATCCTAAGTTGTTTCACATCTCATAAAACAGAAGGGATTTCCACTCATTCCCTCCTTCCCCTCCTCCTTGAGTTTCCTCTGCTGTCTTCCCATCCTGTTTGTAATATTCTCCTAGTCTCCAACACAGATTTCCACAGGACTATGTAAGGATGGATGTGGCAGAAACAAAAGTGAAAAGCCAAAGTTCAAGTCAACGGGCTGTATCCAGAGAAAATTCCTCTGTTGTGGGTTCTTTTTAAATGTAGAGGATTGCTTGTGTTTGTGTGTTAATTTAGCAGGAGTGGGCACAGGGGTGAACTCTCCAAGGTCTTCTGAGGGCGCAATGCAGCTCTGTACTGCTCCACAAGTTTAAAAATGGAGGGTGGGTGGAAATCACATTTAAGATGCTACCCGCTGTCTGGCTTGTAAGTTCTGTTGTTTTTACTCAACCTTTGCTATCTTAATTAACTTGCAAATGAGGTAGAAAGAGGAGTTCAGCTGAGCATCAACTGCATTGCCTCCATCTCACAAGCTCAGCTGAACCTCTGGGGCCGCTCCTTAAATTGACAAGAACATTGCTTAGAAAACTGCAATGAAGGTGAAAAGTACCAGAAGAAGACAGACAAAGTAAAGAAATAAATGTCCAAAGCAGAAGGGAGGGGAAGAGATCAGCCTGAAAAATTGGCTTTCTCTTGCCCAAAGGGAGGGAGTTGGCAGATTAGTGACATTTCCATTGGAATTCAGCCCAGAGGACACAGAGTTGTGGAGAGGCATACCTTCTCCTCTGCCACAGTCTCAAAGTCATTGAAACCCCTCAATTGATTTGTGTGTGAGAGCTGTCCTGGGCTTTTTTATACCTTTTCTCAGCCCATTCACCAAATTAACATTTGATTTGCCAAAACCGCTCTTTGGGTGGCTGTTGTTTCCTATGGCACATCCATTTTTTCATTACTTTTGTTACCTTTGGGAGCATGTAACGGACAGGCCTCTCCTTGTATGAAAATCAGCTCGACACAAAACCAAGCAGGAGCTGATCCTGACTACTTGCTTGCTTTTCATGAGCATGTGGTGCTCCATGCCTCCTTACCTTAGAAAGAGAGTGTGTGTGGTGTAGAGGCCCAGAAAGCGTGCACGCCTGCCTGCAGCCGAGTGCCTTCTCTAGAGTAAGGAATCAGAATATGCCTCCTTGCCTTGGAAAGAGTGTGTGTATGACATGTAGGCCCAGAAAGCGTGCCTGCAGCCGAGTGCCTCCTCTAGAGTAAAAAAGTCAGAACTTGCCTCCTTGACTTGAAAAGCGTGCATATGTGGCATGCAGGCCCAGAAAGCATGTATGCCTGCCTGCAGCTGAGTCAGAATTTGCCTCCTTGCCTTAGAAAGAATGTGTGTGTGGTGTGTAGGCCCAGAAAGCACATGCGCCTGCCTTCCTGCAGCCAAAAACTTCCTCTAGAGTAAGAAAGTCAGAACTTGCCTTCTTACCTCGGAAAGAGTGTGTGCGTGGCATGCAGGCCCAGAAAGTGTGCATGCCTACCTGCACCCAAGTACCTCTAAAAAAGTCAGAACTTGCCTCCCTACCTTGGAAAGAGTGTGTGTTGGTGTGTAGGCACAGAAAACATACACATCTGTCTGCAACCAAGCATCTCTTTTAGATTAAGAAACAGAATTTGCCTCCTTGCCTTGGAAAGAGCGCGTGTGTGGCATGCAGGCCCAGGAGAGAAAGCACATGCAC